CCCTCGATGATGTTCCCGAGACAGGGAAGATGCCTTCAAGTGTATCGTCGCCTGGAAACAAGACTAGGCGCTGGCACGAGTGCGATTGCTTGATCTGCAACCCACGAAAGAAAAAAGGTGGCCGCGCCTTGCCCACCGAGGACCGACTGCAGATGTGTGTCCCCCCTGGCGAATAGACTCGCAGAAGACGTTTACTACGCCCGCTCAAATGTGCGTTGGTTCCTGGTGCCGCCCAACGTTAGTACCTACTGGGAAAGCACCTGATCAGATTTGATGAGAGGTCGGACTGGACCCCTTTCAACGCCGATATGCAGCGCGAACCCGGCCTTAACCAAACCACCAAAGTAGCCGCCGTTCTCGCCGTTTAGCCTGGAGAAGGGGAGATGTCGATCGATGATCCTGGAATGAACGTTTCAACCTCGAACTGGTCCTCCACACAACGGCACTCGGACCAAGAAAAAATAAGTACAACGACGAGCCATGCTATTATTCTCTAGGTGCGTCCTTGGAGCCAAATTGACTGGGTAAATCTGACTGACAAACCTTCTCTGGACGAGGCGAGCTGGCCTACGGGTACAAACGTTTTTCTTTTGCACGTATCCGCACGGAACGCGCACTTACCCTGATGCAAGGGCTACGACACCGAACACCTTCGTGTGCCGGACCCGCCGGAAGACGTGTGTTGGGCAATGGGCCATGGTTTAGAGTATGCATCGGTAGTGTTGACCCCTCCCCATGTATGATATTTCCCTTTCCTCCCCCCTGCCGACTTTCGTGCGTCCGTCACTATCAGTTTATCAGAGCAGCTAATGAAAATAAAACCGGCTTGCGTAGAATCGTCTATCTACGTCTGACCAACAGCGCTTTGCGAGGGACAGACGGACAGACAGCAGAGAATTAGACTTTGTCAGATCCGCCCACTAGAAGATCTCTGACCAACCCAACTTTGGCACGAAAGGGAATATGCCTCAGTCTCGCATAGAACGGAATCCACTCTCCATGCTTCGGTTGACTTTTCTTTCCATCTTTTGGTACGAATATGTACGGAGTATCCGTACAGTATTGCTTTTCTCCATGTACAGTCATCATCAGTGTTCCTTCTGCGGATACAGATCTTCGTTGAGTCCCCCCCACTCCCCCCACCCACACATTACACGAACTTGAAGCGCGGGAAACCCGACAGGTAGCGCTTTTCCTTAGAGTCCACAATCGCTGAGTGAGGTTCGCAATGACTTCATAACCACCGTCAGCCAAATTCGAAATCCACAACAGAGCGCTATTTCTTCTTCGTGCTGTTCATGTATCCCTCTGTGTGATAAGCAATTCAGGACCCATCCATCGGATCCGAAGTACGGTTTCCCATGTGTATGTGTATCGAAGTCGTACCTCTTCCCCAGGATGGCTCTCGCGGTTATCCTCACAGTCCTCGCTCCGTGTCCTGTCTTGAGCGAACAGACACAAATGGTCTAGGGACCAAAGTGAGAAAGGAAGTACGCCATCTCCCTCCCTAAAAGAAGGAAAGATGCGGTGACTAGAAAAACGGAAAGAAAATCTACAGACGACGACGCTCTGAGAGCCCAAGGTCTGTGCTTGCGCGCGGCCTATTGTGCAAAAGCCCCATGGTCTGTCTGTCTTACCTACCTTCCCTTGAATGGGGAAACTCAACCGTTGTCATATCGTCCTTTCTTTCATGTTTGTTGTGTGAGGACCCAAGGTTTGTCACGATTTAGGTCTATTCGCCGAGACCTATACTTTATGCAACGTTGTCTCGGGTTTCTAGATAGTTTCCTTCTTTGATCGTTGCCTCGCTGCTTCTACCTTTGGTGTCTGCCAGCTTGATCTACTCTGGGAATATCACCAGAAGATAGCATGTCGACTGAGTGAGAATAACTGGATTTTCCTGATTATTAACGTACACACGCTGCTGATTACCGCTAGTGACTAGGTATTCACCCTATTCCCCTCCATCCGGTTCCTATTGCCGAAACTCCGTCCCATCAATAAAGACTTTTAACCCTCCCCCTAAATGAGTTCCGCAAGCTGAGTCCCAGCATTTCCTGACGCCTATAACCCGCCAATTCCGATACGGCATAATAAAGTCTGTCTCATATCAAGGCCAGAACAGGACTTCAATTCTCTTCATCGGTAGACTGGGCGCGGAGCCTCGTCGGCGTAGTACATGGGCCGTTCAATGTATGACACTTCCGGCTCGCCCCGTGCGGGGACCGGCTGTCCGTAGTAAGGCTGCTGCTCCACCGGCCTGGCACTATACTCCCGCCGCACCACATGAGGCTCGGCGGGCCGCACACTGTAGGACCGAGGTCCAGGTGGAATCATTTCCCGACGAGCGTCGGGGTGCATGGGCCCCGAGGCGTATTCCTGGATGGGAACCTGCTCCGGCCTAACACTCTGAACTCTTCCGTACTCTCGCGGAAGCTCATATCGTACCGCCGTCTCCGCAGGGCGAGCCGTTGTTGCCCGCATCATATACTCTCTCGGAGCTTCCTCAATAATCCTCCGCTGTTCCATACCACCTCTAGCAGGAATGAACTCTTCACCCGGAGGTGCCATTGGCCTCGTCGAGTACTCTCGCTGTCTATAGATTCGTTGAGGGTCTGACACGTACTCGGGTTGCGTAACGACTCTCCTAGGCGCCGCCGCGTACACCGGCGAAGTACGCTGGTAGAGGACGTCGTCATCCCGAGGGGGTGGGCCGGGGCGTCTCGACTCTGCTCGTATGGGTGCTCTCTCGTAGATAACCTCGGGCTCGGCGGGTCGAAGTGGTGACGGCGCAACAGACTGGCGAACAACAGTCGGCGGCTCGTAGTATCGACGACCAGTAGCGGGATCTACCACAACCCTACCGGACGGTGCTTTGGGTGGTCCCATTAGCGGGGACGCCCGCTCTCTCATGATGGGCGAGCGAGATCTTGCACGATCTGTCATGGGACGAGTGCTCATGCGCGTCACTTCGTAACCATCACGATAGTATCGTGGAGGTTCCCTACCGTAGCGATCGACACTAGCTGGGGATGTTGCGTACACCTCACTTGGCGCAGCATGAACTGCATAGACACCAGGCGACGGCACATGCCGCACATACTCAGCGCCGCTCAAAACGCGGGGCTCCTCAATGTACTCTCGTCCATACCCATAGTCACCTATCGCCGCGGCTTGACTTGCTGGTCGTGGGCGATACTCTTGGGTATCGTACATGGGCGCAGCGCCTTCCTCCCTGTAAGATCGAGAAAATTGACGCTCAGGCTGGGCATAACGAGGCTCCTCGTCACCCTGTCTTCTTTGCCGCTTTTGTGGCCGAATGAAAGACGGCGCATTCATCGGGGACGGCGATCGCGGTTCTGGCTTGATGTAAGGCTCGTCTGGCGCTTGCCTGGCTGCCCTCTTGCCGTTCTTCTTCTTCTTCCCCTTCCGCTTCTCTCCGCTCCGACCCCCTTGCGGCGAGCTATCTGGACTGGAAATGATGTTGGGCTCGTTGCGTAGTGCTGCAACTTGAGCTGTGGTTCCTTGAGGGATGGTCAAGTCTTGAGCATCCGCTGCTTGACCTCTGACCATTGCAAGAGGCGAGACATGAGAGGGCTGGGGCGCTAGGGGGGATATGTTGTGGGCGCGAACCTGTATCAAAGGCGAGGGTTGGCGAGCGAGCATGGACTCCCTAAGTTGCTGTTGACCTGCGGCAGGGACAGATCTATCAGCACTGTCGTCAAGGTCCATTACGCCTGACTCTTCAGAACGACTGGTGTTTCCGCTCCCACCTCCTGATGTAGACAACCCCGTATTATCACCCCTATCTGTTCTTTGCGTCGTTCCTACCGACGGATATCGAGAAAATTCGGGCGCGGCATCGGGTCGACTTGGAACCGGTCGCGATTGGAAGGGATTGGAGTTCGAGACTTGGCCCTGTGGCTGATGAGTAGCAGAGGCATGGGATATTGAGGACTGCAGGCCAGTTTGAGCCTTCTGGTCTGCTTGTACTTGCGACTGGCCTTCGAACGGCTGGCCTGTGGTGGAAGCTTTGTGTGTCTGTGTCGTGACCTCGGCATTGTTACCGCCGCGCGAGCTGCGGTGCGACGAATCTGGCGAATTGACTTGGGAAGAATAGTAAGAGTTCTCATCAACAGAGTCACTTGCAGCTGAAATGTTAGCAGCAGCTAGCGTAGCATTGACAGACGAAGGAGCAGCAGCTTGGACCAGAGTCAGAGCCTTGGACAGCACATCGGAGAGGTCGAAGTCGGCCAGAGGCTCAGACTGCGCCGAGGCCTTCATAGAAGCCCGACGTTGATCAACCTCGTCGCGCAGTGCCCGTTCAAGGCGTTGCCTCTGGAGCTGTATCTCGGCCTTGATGAGATCATCAGACTTTTGAAGAAAAATGGGATTGATCTCGGTTTTGCCAGAGCTAACGAACGGTCTTGCGGGCAGGTTCGCGTTAGCAGGAGGCGGATTTCCTAAACCAGGAAGAGAAGCTTGTGGCGTGGTGGTCGCGAACGACTGCGGATTCCCAACTTGATAACCCTGCGCTGTGCTTCCATTTGTCTCTTTTGCTGGCGTGGAGGGGTTTGATGAAGATGCTATGGCAGAGGTTGGTGTATGGCTCGCCAACTGAGCTAGCACCTTGATCTTGGAATGCGAGCCAGCAAGAATGACATCGCGAAACTGCACGATTCTCTCGTACTGCTGTATCTGGTGTAGCTCATCTCTTGAAAGACCCAACGATGTCCCATTTGCCAACGGCGGTACTGATGCGAGCTGGCCTTGAGCCATGGCGAAGTGCAAGTTGCGCAAGGAAATCCTCCGCAGCAGAACAAGAAAGCGCGAAAAGAAAGGAATCCAAGAAGACAAACAGGACTAGCAATATCGTAAGAATCAGCACTGTTGACTTTACCCAAAGCACAGCAGCCTTGTGTGCAGTGATTTCCGCAACGTCGTGGAAGATGAAGAAAAGGCGTCGTGCCGCTGGTGGATGTTGAGAGGAAAAGAAATGGGTCGTGGGCCATCAGTAGTGGTTTATTTGTGAACTTTTCCTACAAGGATAAATCCTTATAAGAATCGAAATCAGTTGTGGACCTGGATGGGTGATTCGGGCTTGGGCGGGCCATGCAGCTAAGCGAGTTATGTCACCACCTGAGCTCGGAGCTCCCCAGCCTCGGTGTATTTTGGTCAGAGTCATCACTAATGTTTAGCGCCAAGATCCCCCATCTGCCCGAAATAGTCCCCTGTAGCTTCCTGTAATTACCTCAACAGCATAACGCGGCATGCGAGACATAACTTCGGCATGAGTCAACACTAAATACTTCTGCCAAAGTATTGTGATCAGCCTCACAAAGCCCCATGGTGCATTTGTAAGCCAATAACGACTTCGTACAATTCTGAGTCTAAGGAAAAGAGTCATAAGTGTCAAAATCCAGACAATAGTGGTTTCCCTTGCTTCATGCCGACCAGACTCCCACCAAACATACCTCGAAGCTTCTCTTCCTCAGCCCGATTGCGGCTCTTTTCTCCACCAAGGGCCCAGCCTTTCACAACAAATCACAGCATTAGATACCGAAGGCCTCTTTCCTTTTCACGTTCTGTTTTCAGACATAGACTAGACGGCGCGTACTATACCACTTCAGCCATGGAGCCCAGCAAAGCCCAGACAAATGGAGTGTCAACTTCCAAACCTGTGCTGTTTTTGTAAGTTGAACCTCATCAATGCAGATGAATACCTCAACTCACAATCGCACAGTGATATCGATAACTGCCTCTACCCGAAAAGTATGTGCTGGAAGATGTTCATACGGCATCATTAAGACTGACTCTCTCCAGGTTCACGAGTCCAGGACCACATGTCGCAGCTGATTGACGAGTACTTTGCAAAGCACCTCGTACTCAGCTGGGATGACGCCGTGAAATTGCACAAGGAGTACTACACCAATTACGGCCTTGCAATTGAGGGCCTGGTCCGCCACCATGAGATTGACCCCTTAGAGTACAATGCTAAGGTCGACGACGCCCTTCCCCTTGAGGACATACTCAGTCCAAACCCTGAGCTGCGCGAGCTGCTTGAAGATGTTGATAAGAGCAAATGCACCATGTGGCTTCTCACCAACGCCTACGTCAACCACGCTAAGCGCGTGGTCAAGCTGCTGGATATTGAAGACCTCTTCGACGGCCTCACTTTCTGCGACTACGGACAGGCGCCGCTTGTCTGCAAGCCTGCCAAGGAGATGTACCTGAGGGCCATGCGTGAGGCAGGTGTTGAAAAGATGGAGGATTGCTACTTCGTTGGTATGTCATCGCCGATTCACCCCTGAGAGATAGAGCACTGACTATCTGCCATAGACGACTCTTACCTGAACTGCCAAAAGGCCCAGGGCTATGGCTGGAATGTAGCGCATCTTGTTGAGGAAGATCTTCCTGTGCCGAGGACACCTGCATCCGCGCATCAAATTCGTCACCTCAGGGAGCTACGAGACGCCTTTCCCCAATTCTTCAAGTCCAAGAACGCTTAGACTTTTACAACCAAGAACAATGACTGAACGACCGTAGACGGAAACGAATAGAAGGCGAAGAAGGATCCAAGCCAGTAGTATACGAAGATGAAAGGCTCGGACACACGTTTTCTGTGTTGGATTGGGTATCGCTAATTCATAGATATCCTTAAACTCGAATACCCCCCGTTTGACCTTTTTCAACGCCCATAACACCCCAAATGCAATGCAGTCCCGGTGACCAGTGTGATATATCAAGGTCGTCGAACGCTTCTGATCACCTCATCAAGTTTTGCCAGAATCTGGTCCTTCTCTCGTATCGCGTCCTGCCTCTGACTCTCTGCGACCTTGAGCTCGTCTTCCAGCTCCTGGATATAGCGCTCCTGGTCGGCTTCGCTGCTGTCCAAACCCGGCAGGCTGGAGATGAGGACCTCGATTTGTTGTTCCTTGATGATGAGGTCGCGCGACAGCTCAGCTAGGCCATCTTTGAATTCGTCTGCGGGAAGGGGATCGACTACGAGCAAGCTTGTTTAGCATTTGTCTGTCATATTCAGGTCTATAATTCTAGTGAAACATACCCTCTTTCTGTTCCGGATCCTGTTTGACCTCTCTAATCTTATCGTTGGGTCCGAGCAGCTCGAGATCGTGGCGCCGGTGGACAAAGTGGAAGCTTGCGACGAATTGCTGGGCAAGCTAGAGACCGAAGTTAGCATTTGCTAGACGAGCAGATGAGAGACGAAGAACAAAGGGAAGTATACCTGATCCACAGCGTCTTGCAATTGAGTAAGTCTGTCGCCCATCGCGCTGGTATGCAGTGATTCCGCGCAGTGTGGTGGGTTGTAATATTGAAGTTAACAGTGACAGACAACCTTGAAGGGTATGAATGCGCCGCGGGACGTTATTTTGCGGGCCGGCTGCTATGCACCTAGGCGTGAACGCACTGGCCAGCCCAGGATCGGATGGAAGCTGCGGTACGTACCTTTTTCAACTTCAGCTAAACTCTTGGTCTGAATGTGCTTGATTGAGAGAACAACACGGAGGGGCGTTTCTCCAGTGCTCATAAAATGTGACCTTGCCTGCCAATTTTACATACAATCTGGACCTGGATTCGAAATCTCAAGAGCATGCAAGCTCTTTTACGCTCGTTACCGAGGCAATTGTCCCGCCACAGTCGACTTACCGTCTCATCAATATCCTCAGCTCCCCTATCGACATGTTCATCATTAAGAAAACGACGAGAGAAGGGTCCGGAGCTGCTATTCCCTAACGCTCCATCAACAAGCCACCATGATATTACATCTTTCCTCGCATACGCAAGTCGTACTGGACTTGACGTGGCATCAACGGTATACGTCGGAACTCACTATGAGTACACAGTCTCCTCAACACTCGCCCAATACGGCATCCACGCCAAGCGTGTAGGCGGAGCATTCGACCAAGGCATTGACCTCCTCGGCACCTGGAGTCTTCCTTCACGGACCGAGAATCTGAAGGTCATTATTCAGTGCAAGGGAGGTGCCCAACGCGTCGGCCCTTCGATAGTCAGGGAACTGGAAGGTTCCTTCATCGGCGCCCCGGTGGGCTGGCGGGGTGAAGGAGTCATTGCCTTCCTTGTTAGCGAGAAGCCGGCGAGCAAGGGCGTGCGAGAGTCTCTGGGACGAAGCCGCTGGCCCATGGGCTTCATCTCGTGCTCCAGGGAAGGAGTGGTGCAGCAGATGCTCTGGAATCAGCGGGCGGATGAGGAAGGCCTGAGAGGCGTTGGCGTGACGATGCGTCATGCCGAGGACGGGGAGAGCGAGTCACAGATTATCTTGACACACAATGGAAAGCGAGTGCTTAAGAGTCCAAAGCCGGAAGTCTCTGAGGTGGACTGAAGTCTCGGTCAAGCCATCAAGCATCGAAACCAAACAAAATGCTAGGTACACCGCGCAGGAGTTGAAACAAGCTCGCTGAGAGGCACTTGTCAGGAATCAACGCAGGAGCGAGAGTGTCGTATTTATTTCTTCACTAAAAAAAGAAGAGTCGAGTGGCTATGGAGTGAGAACCTAACAAGATTTTATTGCAAACAAACTCCCAACTCAACATTTCTTAGCACAACATGAGATAGCCTAGTGGTGTATAGTACCGATATTCAGACGTTTAGATCTGTACCATGGGTTACAATAGCATCGCGACGCTGGAAGGTAGTCGGCCCATTTCCAAATATCTTGTTGTAGGTAGCATGCCTTTGCTCGAAGTCACAATGGCATAGGGCAGTTGGTGCAGGACTTCGAGGCTAAAATCAGGTTAAATCGAGTATTAATCTCTGCCCCTATCTGTCTACACGCATAGGACTGGAGCTATCATTACATCACATCTACTCCCTTCTCATTTCCTCCCGTACCCATCAGCCACCAAGGCTTACATCTTTGCTTCCCGGGTCTCATTTGGCTTCCACGACTCCTTCTTCAACAATGAACCTAGCGCCTTCATTGCCACTGCAAAAACTCACTATCGTCTTGTCGGCGCGAGACTCCAGTTCCGGGAGTTGCAAAAGAGGTACTGATGAGCCAATTCGTCGTCCATCATTTCGCTCATCCGAGCAGTGTTCCTCTGATATGTTGTAGAATATCAAAGGAAGCATTGACGACTTCCAGATGGGCTGCCTCCCGCTGTCCCTGCAACTTTGCACATAAACAGACACGAGCAAGGCTGATGTCAATACCAGAAGTGCCGCAGGGTAAAGTAGCCACCATTCTTCAAGCCTTACACAGATCGATGTTTTGCTGCAGGTTCCCTCCTGATAACTATTTGATGTATCCGTCTCTGACGAAGTCAATCCGTAAATACGCATCCGGTTCGAAATCGCGATAGACATGTTGCCGTGAGCAGCTTCTAGGCTGACAAATGTGGCCATTCCTCCATTATAAAGAGCGTCAAGCCACCAACCTGTTTCGCAATGTAGCTGGCTGGAGTTTCCGATTCCATTGACGGCATCAGAAGATGTTGGCCCCCTTTCGGTAAGATCGTAGAGTTTGCATTGTCCATTTAGATTGGCCTTGAGGAAGTATCTAATGCCACGGAACTCGGTATAGTCCATGGTACTGACACATTGAGCCGGTGCCTCCTTTTCAGCTCCATCTGAAGTCCAGGAGGTCCAATTCAAGCCATTTCGAGGGGCGTTGCTAATATTGGACAAGTCATACCATTTGTCTATGAGAAAACACGGCTGAGTGACCGAAATATAGCCCTCGGCATACGACTCCATTGGGTCCGTTGATACCAAATGCTCATTCAGAGTACCGTTCGTAACATTTCCGTTGTAATGACGAATACAAGGATACAGGCTGCAGTTGGCAGCCACAATATCAAGGTCGGAGCTTAGTCTCGGCATATTGGTATAGTCGTGCTCGCAATATCGATCTGTCGGGGCGTCTGAGTTAGGCTGCGCAACGCAGCCTGCCACTGAGAGCGTCAGGAAAGACGTGTTGATCGGACCATCTTTCCTGGAATCAATAGTATTCGCTACAGGTGTTGTTACGTTGAAAAGTTCCGGCTCAACGCCAGTGTTGATGGAAAATCCGGAGTTGTTGTGGAAGCGATAACTGTTCCGATATCTGCCTACCAATTTTGTCTTTGACTCCTCAAACTCGATCAAGTCGGATTTCACATCGGTGCAATTGCTGCAAACTCCAACGGACGAGTGAGTGACTTCAGAAAAGTTCCTGAACACACAATTGCCCGACTCGCATTGGAATAGTTGTGAATTGTCCGGAGGTAAGCCAAGTATACCGTTGATAATGGCCGTGCTCATCTTAGCATTGGTAACTGCACCACTTATCATTGAATCGTGCCTCGTAATCCGTTCAGCTGTTGAGATACGAGCAATGCCCTCAGCTGAGACTTCGCAGGGATATGTTTTGACAGCTTGCTGGGAAAGAGGTCCGGTGGCGTAAGAGGCAACCACGATCAGAGCACCTAAAACCGTTGCGGTCCTGCGGTACGTGTTATTAGCAATTTCGACCATTTTTAGACTAGAAAGAGGGAAATTATGGCTTACGGTTTACGAAAACTCACTAGAAACTTCAGCGATCCCCATGCGCCTTTGCCAGCATTGTCAAAATGTTCGACATGACGAAGTGGCCGCGCCGCTGCCATCCATGGCCATTTGGCTTGTCCAATGACTGACTTCATTGGTATGTATTCCCTAAACTTTATTGAATAAACTACTGACCTTCTGATAACACGAATAACATTGCAGCTCTAAGGAGCGTGGTCAATATGGCAACAAGAGTATTGATGCTCACACTGTATGCCCAAGCAGGCTGCGGTTTTCCATTGCTGAACACACACTAAGAGAATAACCATGACGATAAAGGCGACAACAGAGGTCAAAAGTGCTACGAACTCTAGTTTCCATTGCTTCAAGGCCGCAACTCGGTCGCGAGGCTGGTAAAGTAAGCTGTTCTTCTCAGTCTGGTTGAGATCGTCCTTATCGATGCCAGGACTGGCTGGCGATGCCTGGTGGATGTCTTCTCGAAACTCGTCCTCTGTAGAAATGATAGTATAGCCACTTATTGAGTCATCGTTCTGCAAGTTGTTCGGCTGCTGGCTTGATATGTTCGTGCTGTGATGTACTCCATCTGTGGATGATGCAGACGAAGGCCTAGAAGATGGCTCATCTCTAGCACCAGGGAGAGGTTCTTGGTGAGCCGACATTTTGAGATGTTTCCAATTTTTGAACTATTTGAACAGCGAGCATAGCAGATGGAATCAATTCTTTACTAAGTGCAGACGATCAAGAGTTGCGCACTATAAATCAGGCTCAGCCCGTGGGGGCCTCAACGCACCTACGACGCATCCATAATGCGTCATAAGCTTATGGCTTCTCGCCCCGTGGCCAGGAAGGCTTGGCTGCATGAACTACCTGACGACCGATGTGCTGACGCCGCACTGCCCATCTGCGGTGCAACGAGGGATCTAATTCTGGTTTTTCGTGTAGACAAACGCAGGCTGGAAAGCTGAATATGCAGACCACAGGCAGCCTTGTCCCAAAATGACATCCTATTGCGTCAGCAACCTCTGCAGCAAACCCGGCAACCACCACAGACAGGATAAGGAGACAATCTGGTTGGTACCTGAAATATCTACAAATAACGGGCTTGGGTGGACTGGAACTGCTGTCAGCCAGTCCTTACCCAACGAAAAGCTTGACTTACAGAATCAACCTGGAAGTCACGATTCCAAGCCAGACGGCGCAGCAGGAGGCAGCTCAACACAGCTCACCAGTCCTACCTTGCCTAGAGAATAAGAGATCCGAGGTTACATATCAGCGAATACGACCGTCGACGAACTGTCGGCATGGAAACTGAGTTTCGGATCCATTCTCAAGCACCCGCCGAACCACCTCTCATGAAGCATATAACCCTTGGGTTGAATTCTGACCCACGGCCTCAGCTTGAATACATTGAGTAGTACCGAGAACTTCCCGCTTTGAATTTGTCATCTCATTGACTTTACAATCAAACGGAATAAGTTACAATACCATCAGCAATACGTACAGAGGAAAGAGGATCACAGATTCTCTAGCTGGATAATTGCAGAAGAGCGTACTGGAGTCATTTGGACGGATGTTGTCTAAATAAATTGCACGTGCCATGCTTTCTTAGTTGAGAACTAAACCTACATCAGAAGAGAAGCGGTAAGAGAGCCCGACTCTGTCCCGAGAACATCCAGATAGATTAAGCTTTAATTTGATCTTTCATGGCACCCCAAAAACAAGGCTTTATCGCCCTTCATCGGCTCTTTGATCCCCGAGCATAGTGCTCAGACTAAATGGAGACTTCAACAAACCCACTAGATCTTTACGTTTATTTCAAAATACTTATCCTAGCACATCGTAGACGCTCTGGATGTTCCGCAAACGGAGACTCATGTCACACCGAGGGCCTAGCATTTGAGAGACAGGTACTAGGGTTGAATACACGCAAGACTAATTACCAGCCACGGTTAAACAAGCAAGTTAAAAAGCACATCGATAGGCCTCCCGCTTCCTGGGCAGCCTACAAGGCGACCATCTCATGCCGGAATCTGAGATTCAGTCGACACTGAAACATGGAAAAAAAAAACATGATACCAAATGTCCGGAGACGCCTCAACATCAACTCACCTTCTTATCTACACGAATCTCACTCTATGGAAACGAATCCAAACGGCATAGTCAAGCTCAAGCTATCCGTACTAAAGCACAAGGGAACATTCACGGCCAAGTCGCGGAGCCCCGAGGCTCACAATAGCTCCACCCAGCGGAGCCCTTGTCCACCACCCACCCCAAGCATCACCAAGCAAATCTTCAAAAAACATACAACACCAGGTATTCGCTGGTCGTCACCGACCCAACTACTAATCCGGCCCTCACTGGCTTATCTATGGGAGAGCGGACGGGATCCCGAGTTTTCCAGTGGGTATGGTCGTATGTGGGAGATTTGAAAGGCAGAGCCGAACATATCGTGAGAAGACGCGACACCGCGCAGCTACCTCCCCTGCATCAACACAGGAAAACAAAAAAGGCAATGGTAAATAAAAAATACCTTTCCACGGAGAGGGAAAATATTAAAATCAAATTCGGTTCTTCGTGTGTGAATCGTTTTCTTGTTGTGCCGTGGCTGAGAGGAGGTCGCCAACCATCAACAACTGTCTTCTTCATCTTGCGATGGAGGTTCCCCCGCTTAGTCACTGAGCAAAGACTAGGGCATTGCGGATTACAGCAACAAGGCAATGAGAATAGAGCGGAACCTCGATCTTGAGAATGAAATTAGATTAATTGTAGACAATGTACGGAGTAGCTGTGTAAATAAGATTCCTGGGCTCTGTCTATTGTACTTTTGCTTCAACGCTGTTTCAACGCTGCACCATCCGCACTACCTACCTTAGGCACCCCTCAACTCCTCAGGCCAGCTGAACTCGCCGTCGTAATTCCAGTCACTTTCATAATTGACAAGTACTTCTTCTCCTCACAGAGAGCACCATGGCACAGCACCGCGAAATTTCTACTGATTGACAATTCAAGGTCTGCATACTTCTCTTCATCACGAGAATTCCCCTTAGATCTACGCTGTTGATCACTGTTGACCCATAGGGTGGCCATATCGCCCGGCTTCTCCTTGCTCATCACCAAGATCACCGTGTAAACACTTTTTGTTGAACAGTCAAGGGAAACCGCATGCAGCTATCTAAATCTCCCCGCCTGCCCACTGCCCGTATCCCGGAGCAGAATAAATCCCATTCATCAGTGTTCCTCCGTTCTGTTGCCGAAGAACCTGCACACGCCTTATATGTGTCCGGGTAAGTCAAATCGGCCTGGTGAGACTAGGTGTGGTGTTGTATGCAGTTTTGAGGTTGTTGTAGTACATGAGCCATCGAGAGAGGCAAGGGGGTATTTCCTCCTCCCGAAAGTAAGATCCACTTCCCATCACGCCAGATATCCAAGCTCGTCGTCTTCGAGTCGCTCCAAGTACTCCTTGTCGAGCAGAATCTCTATGCACTTCTTGATGTCCGAAACCTTTGGCACGAAGCGCGACCGGATCTGATTGATGGTCTCGCTGACGAGTTGAGTGTGCTTCATCTTCTTTCTGGCCTTCATGATACGAACGATGGCAGACTGTTGCCTTGTTAGTAGGTGAACTTCAAGTGTCTTAAGAAAAAACCAAACTTACCTGCAGCAGAAGCTTGCGGTCTTCCTCGATCGTCTTGTTCGTCTCCACTTCCTCCTGCTTCGCCTCCTTGGCACCACCAAGGTTCAGGTTGACTCTGATCTTTTTGCTCTTGAAGTCGTAGTTGAGGCGGAAGCTCTTGCCGTCCTCCGGCTTACCCTCAGCAGGGGACATAATGAGGACCTTGGCCTTGAGAAGAATGGCCAAGGCCTGGTCAAGAACCTCGGAGCTCAATAGCGTAATGCCCGAGATATCCTCGTAAGTGTGCTTGTCCTTATCGTTGTACAGGAGCAGGATGGCCATCTGGTAGGCAGATACCTGGAATGTGTAGGGCGTCTTGCTGTTCTTGCAGTAGCCAGCCTTCAGCTCGCCCTTGCAAAGCTGCCACAACCAGGTGAGCTTGCGGCCCTCGTGCCGTTCCTTGTAGAATCGGGTGAACCGCTCGCAGTCGTCATTAATCTCCTGCGGGGGAGTGAAGCTGGTGTTTGGTGCGGTCAGGGGCCAGAAACCAGTTCCAAGGATAGAGTACTGGGAATCGAGGGTGGTCTTAACGCTCTCAGGATCGGCAGCCTGCTCCTTGAAGCTGACGTTGAGGTCCTTGGACGTCTGCATGTCCTGGAACATCCTCTGGAGCTTGTTGGTATACTCGAAACCACAAGCCTCCTTGAGTTTACTGATCATGCTTGTTTCCGCGTCGTCCGATGAGGAGTTGCTGTGCACCAAGCGGCGGGCAAGCATGCGTGAGTAGAACTTTTGGAACACGTCCTTATCCTCAATGTACTTAAACACGGTCATGATCTGGGTGAGCGTGTTCTCTAGCTCGCCCTCCTCGATGCCAGTGCTACTCTTGCGTAACAACACATCTGTGTACTTGGCCAAGAGCTCTGGCGATTTGTTGGAGCCTGACTTGCAGACTTCGTTTCGGTTGATAAACTCGCGGCAGGCATTATCCAGGGACCGCGTGAACTCGGCCTCGCCATCAAAGGCACGCGTCACCAAGCCCGAGTACTGGGAGTGGATCTCCAACAGCGCATCGACGTAGACCTTTGGCTCCAGCTTCTCGGCGTCGGATGCCACCTTCTCCACGGCACTCAGACCTGCCTTGCGGACATGTGTCTCGAACCTCTGCCTCAGTGGATCTAAGCCCTCTGGAATCCTAGACAGGAGCTTGTACATCCTGGCCATATCTTCTTCTCTGTCGTTGTCTAGGAGAACCTGGAATTCATCGCGAAGTAGCGTAGAGTGATCGGCGATGAGGGCTTGGTTGCACGTCTTGCGCAGTGGCGTGATGATATCAGCGTGCAAGAACATGCGCACCCGCTCCTCCTCTTCCTCAAGTCTCGTTTCCGCCTTCTTCATATATTCGACGACGCTGTTCTCGGCGACGAATTGTTTTGACTCGTTCTGATAGTATTCTTTCGTCGCAGCCAAGAAGGGGCGCTCGAAGTGGAAGCGGTAGACGTCGAGAGTGGACTTGGTAGGGTCGGCGTCGTCGAGACCGAGGGACACGAAAGAGTCGACAACTTGCTTGATCTGGCCATACTCGATGGTCTCGCCGTTGCGCTGCTTCTCGACCAGCTTCAGAACCGCTTCCATAACCTTAGTCGATACCTGCTCGAAGAGGACCCTTCGCCACTGGACCAGGTGTAACGTGTAGACGTCGTAGATGTTCTTCTTACCCTCATCCATCTCGCGTTTCACCCAGTGTCGGTTCAGATACCGGAACAGGTGATGAATATACTTGGCCGCAATCGTGTATCGGTTCCATTCTTTGATGTAGAAGGTCAGCAAGGCTTCGTCGGTGTGTGTCTTGGACTGCTGAACAAGCCCTTCGAGATGTTGCTTGAGGTACTCGATGAGCTTGTTGTACAGCTCCTCTCCGAGAAGGTGAGCTATAACAAGATGTCAGTTTGACCACCCTACGCAGCAGGCGGAAGCGTGTTCCATGCTCACCTCCTCTGTGGTTGCCTGATCCGATGCTTCCCTGGGGTACGGATAATCCGACGGCCTTTTGGGATGTACAGAAGTTGTGAACGGCACTAGAGATTAAGTTAGAAGGTGAAGACAGCGACCGGTCAGTGAGGCGTACGTGTAGACTCCCATGTACTGTGGCGAGCGAGTAGCGGTTAGCACTCTTCCATCCTGTACGAGGAACGTGGAGCAGCTTCGGGTAGTTCAACTCACGATCTGCATATCGATACCACGCTCAAGATCTAGCATGATGCGCTGGATGCCAGCCTCAAGGTACTTCCATCTGTACGCAGTCAGCGCGGGGGGTTCGACCAACGGCGACGGAGTCGCGAGGCTGCAGAGGTCCACTCACGTGGCTCCAATGTCTTCCCGGTTGGGGACTGGAGGCATCTGGACGGCGGGCGCCATCTTGGCTGTAGACATGACCCAAAGTTCTTAGATCGAGCGCGCTGTCGGCGGAGGAAATCGGTGAGGCCGTCGTGGCCGTCGTGGTGGGGGAGGGGCGGACGTTGGTTCGGGGGTCGATTCGGCGTGGAAGGCGGGGGGCCTGCTGCGAGAGACGAGAAGTTTAGAAAGACCGTCTAGGCAAGAGATGGAAAAAAATGTATTTGATCCTCCAGTCCTACCGTTGGTGGAAGGATGAAGGAGAGTCAGTGGATGGTGAAGAAAGGTTTATGTCGTGGCGTGGACTTGGACGCTTCTGGAAATCGAAGTCGAAGAACGGAGATGCAAAGGAAAGGCCGGTGGTCGCAAGGGTTGGAAGGAGGGAGAGCCTGCCTTACGTTACGGTGGTCTTGGGGGGCGGAAAGGGAAGGAACACGGCACCCTTTGTCTGAGTCAGAGAGAAGGGAACTGAGGCCGTACTTTGCTCGAATAGCACCTTGAACGGTGAAAGCAAGAAGTGAAGAAGAGAAGTTTGTAGCCTGGAGACAATAGCTGCGGACGCGATCAGGCAGACACTGGTTGACTCGTGGGTAGAAAGAAAGGCTGCTTTGCTTGCTGGGTGAAAGGCGCTGCAGATGGAGGCGGCGTCCGGTGGTGGAGGAGGATCCAGGTCTGGAGGTGGCCAGCTACGGATACGGTAACGACACAACCACGCTCTGGGCTGTAACAAGACTCAGGCCAGCCCACGCCCACCTCTTCGTCACAGCGTGAGTGGTGGAGAGTGGGGACTCTGCCCTCTGAACCTGGGTGAGGCCTGGGTGCTTGGGACTGGCTGTCGGAAAAGGTAAGTGGGTCATCACCAGGAAGGGCTTAGTAGATAATTCTGCCGAGCGTTACCGCCCCTGACCATCAGCTTTGGTAATCTGCGATAGGGAAGGCGTGCTTTATGGTCGTCTGCTTCAGGTACGCGACCAGGCAAGCTGCTATTAAGACACAGCCTAAAGGTACCTTACTTCAGGGTTTTGCCGGGGGTGGAACGGAGGGGACATCGGAACTTCTCAGCCTTACCTTACTTCTTGATTGGTACGAATACCTTGTCCTCTTGCATTTTGCACCCACCTACCTAGACCTTACCGATTCAACGGCATCTTGTAGTTGAGACTCTTGATCGCAGTCAACCTCATTTACTCTGCACCAGATATGACCGGACTGACCAACTTTGTCATTTCGCTCAGGAAGTTTTTCCACTGCTGCTACGGACGATGCCCCGTGGACAAAGATTGTTTAGGTCTTGACTCATGGCTCTTACTTGACCAAGCCTCTCCCCTTAGCGATTACTTCAAAGTGACAAGACTCTTTCATCTGCTTCCTAATTGGTTTTCCTAGATAACAAGCATCTTGGATATGGATACGTCCGTTCGTGTCACATATAGACTACTTGTTGCTGACTCTTATTTGCCATCGCACTAACTCCACCTCAAGTTGAATCCCATGCTTTGCTACCTTTGTAATACGTCCTTGTTACGGATGTTTGTCAATTCTATTTTCTACAGAGGTGAGAGCCCAGGAGGTAGACACCGCCAGCTGTGAATAGCATCCCCAGCCATAAGGAGTCAGATCTCTCACCTTTAATATGACATATCAGAGCACATCATACTTTAACAAATACTACACAAAAAGGTCAACCACAAATTCCACTATTGAGATTGTGTAAAGGAAGGTATCAACGTGTGACTAGACAGCCAGAAGTATGTATAATGAACAAAGAGGAAGGACCGCAGCTACCGTTGCGCGCTACAGTTATCGTACAGGCTTTTTAATGAACCGGGTATACCCAACAAGACCAAAGAAACCCCCTCCCATGCCCCCCGAAATTACATGCGATCGTGAGAGCTTTCATCCTCGCCTCCTCCAAGTCGTTGAACCGTCCGGAAAATGTTAACCATGAAGTTCAGGGTCCACGCCAGCAGACCCGCCAGCATGAAAGATGCCAGGGCCTGACTCAACTGCCTCACTTGCCCTGCTTCAACATTATGGAAGACTAGCGATTCGAAGGCCAGAGAAGTGCTGGCTGACTTGAATATAATGAAGAAGAGGTCAAGCAGGATAAGGGCAATCTTCTGGACGGCTGGTCGAAGGCCCAATGGCTTGCCCGTGTACTCGTCCCAGATCATATACCCGATGTAAGGCACTGCCACCGTATCGACAGCAATAGCGACGATACTTTGCGCGCGTTCCGGACTGACGTTGCTCTTAGCATTCTCCTTTTCGTATATCCGCGCTGCTATAGCCAAGGCGATGATGGACGTGAACATGACTGTAAGTCGGAAAACCAGGGGTACTAGGTAGTGTCGTAGAATGAGGGACCACATTCTTTGTCCAAAGGTCTTCGTTCTCTTCTGTTTCATCGATCCCTTCTCCAAATCTCGGTGGGCATGCGAGTCGTATCGTTTATTAAAGTCGGGCTGCAGCTTATCTAGCATGCTGACGTCCACAACCTCCGACTCCTCGCCTTCCGTGCGACCGTAGGCCGATGAGTGTAGAAAGTCCTTCCATGCTGCTGGTGGGCCCTGGGTTGCGGGCCTGTGTTGCGAGACGATGACGGGCTCTGCTGTTCGTAGGTGATCCCACTTTCTTCCGTGTTGCGCGCCCTTGCCGCGGAAGAAGTCTGTAAGCCGTTTGTTTGTATTTGGGCGAGCGTTCTCTAAGACAGGGTCGCCCATTTCGTCGACCCAGCCGTCACGCGACACCCGACGATCAGGCTCCTTAGGCTGGTGGTTGTGGTGAGGTGGAACAGTTCGTGCCGGGGGTGAGAGCAGTTGAAGCTGGTCTTCGCTGGGTTGGCCGTACCTCGTCTCGTATGAATCTATCCATGCTATTGCGACAAGGTGATTAGTATGGCCTTCTGCTCAATCAAAGCTCCGAACGAGCCGGAGAGTATCCTTACGTGGGAGCGATTTCGGTTGTAAGCGCAGGCGCGGGGCACCATTGTCGATTGCGGTACTGCTTGTGCCTACTGATGCTCGAAAGTCGGCTGAGGCGGAACTGCCAGGCGGGTGGCTGGATGTGCTCATTGCAGTCGCAGCCTTGGTTGAGGCTGGACGCTGAACTGGAGGAGAGGGGATGCTATGACAAGGTCGTCTGCGATTGTGAGCGTCGTGAGTGGAACGCTTCGTCAATGGCGTGTAAAGAGGCTCGCATATTAGTATGCCCTCCGCCTTTCGGTCGAGGCCGTACGAAGCGAGCTATCGATATTATTATCGCAGGTGGTATCGTGCACTTTGTTGTCGAAGGTGTGTACACAAGTTGGGAAGGAAAGTCGTAAGGGCGAAGGAGCGGGTGAGAGACGCAAGAAAATAAGATTATGATCTGAGAAAAGCAAGAAGGTAAAGCAGCAACGAAACCGTGAACAAGCCCAAAGCCCACGGTAAAAGTAAAAAAAAAAAAAGACACGGCAGAAAGAGGTGCGCGTGACGGGAGACAGTTAGCAACGGTTGGGTGCGCCCTGTGTCTCTCTCAACGGCGGCGGAGGCGGCGGCTGTGTCCTCGTGGGGAGAGATGAGCTAGTGGTGCTGGCTGGCGTCGCTATTTCTTGGCTTCGTCGTCGTCCCCGTCCAGTACCGTCCTTTGGTTCTGTCTGCAGGGTGAATCCCAAAACCGACGGTGGCCAGCCTAAGTATTCGTAGGAAAACACCAAAGAGCAAACCACACGACACTCGGATTGTGCCACTCCAGGTCTATGACCGCAACTTTTGCCCGGGCGTTCCAGCAAACCGGGAAACTTGGCAGAAAGACTGCAGAGTCCAGACACCTCTTTTAGACGCCTCTTGCGGCGCCAAACAGACTGGACGACAAAATGGAGGGCTGGGGGAAAGGGAATCGGAAGTGAGAGAGAGGGAAAAGCGATTGGAAGGCTGGTAGCACCCGGTGCACTGGAGCAACCTAACGACTGGAGCAACCCGTTATGTGGGCCCCCTTGATGCCGGCTGCCTGCGAGAATAGACGGTACGTACTTCCGAGTCTATGGGCAGTCACCACCCTCGAGATGGAGGAATTTAGCGGGTTTCGAAAGCCAATTTGCGCGAGCGCGATCTGGGACCAGAGTAAAATTCAGTCGTGATAGAGGGGCACATGTCAGCTTGGCAGTCGATTTTGAGCTGAGTGGATATCAGACATGGTGTCAGGCCCATTTCTTCCCCTATCGCGCAGCTGAGCAGGGGGTTCCGATAGGCATTGATGCAAGCACTCTTAAGCTCCGGGGATACCCCTTCATGTACCGCCCTAACAGTGGTCCTTTCGCACTCGGCGCACCACTCAAATCACAGGAACGACCCATGACGCCGACCTGCGTCACTTGCTCTGCGTCCGGGTTCAGTCCAGGAAGCTTGACCCAGAAGCTAAGATGGATGACAGGGGGCAGGGCTCTAGTTCTTCAAAGTCCAAGAGGCTGAGAGCTTCCAGACTTGGAACTCCACGACACACGTCAAAATTGCCTCCTTTCTTCGACCAGGGACAAGAGGCCGCCTGGTATTTTTTCTTTCTCTAGAGCTTTTCTTTTCGCCCCTCGGCTAATTCAGTATAACACTCGCCATGCCGACTGGGAGACGCTGTTTCTGCTAATTTCTGAGCCAAGAGCATCCTCTTTTTCCCCTCCTCCGTCCCATCGCAACTGCCGCGGGGCAGCGCGTCGCATATCCTCGAGCGACTCGACGACGAAGAAGTTAATCGCCCCAAAACAACCCCCGAAATCCACCGCTCGGGCTGAGCCCCTCGTCATCCGATATGCGTCTCTACCTCCTCCCAATCACCACGAGTCGAACTCTCCTCTACTCACAACGACTCAATATTGCGACGACGAACCAACAAGGCTTGGCAGATAAGGTCGGCAAGAGGGCAGCTAAGTTGTGGGCTGGCTGGGAAGCAAAGGAGAGCGGATGGCAGAAGAAAGTTGTCAGCTATGGAAACTACGCCCTGCGTCGTATTCCGTACGAGGAATGGGGGCTGAAGTCGGTGCCACCCATTTCTGCGCGACGCAAGGATGAGGAGCTCAAGGGCAAGGAGAAGATCGAATTGGTCTTCCCGGATACCATTATCCCTACAAAGCAGGCTGAGCAGGTTGTCAGGACTCTGGCCACGGAACGAGATGCGCTGCACAAGAGGAAGCTTATATGGTGCTTGATTGGCATGCCCATCTCGGCGCCATTCGCCCTGGTACCCGTGTAAGTTGGAACTCCAATCTCTTTGTGGAAGAATTGCATTGCTGATATTACTATCCCCCAGGATACCTAATCTGCCGTTCTTCTATCTCGTCTACAGAGCTTGGTCGCATTGGCGCGCTCTCGAGGGAGGCAAGCACCTCCGATTCCTCGTTGATAATAAACTCCTGGCCCTGTCCCCGTCAAAGTTGTTGAACGACATTTATACGCCTTTAATCCCAGAAAACACAACCGTAACACCGTCGAAACCGGCCCTTGGCAGCACGGAGCCTTTGAAAGGCAAGGGAGACAACGCAAAGGACGAGGCAATCCTGCTCTCACAGGCCAATGGTCAACGGATTGCCAAGACGCTTGATGTCCCCGAGCTGGGCGTCGAGATCGAGCGGGCCATCTGGCAGGTGAACCACGCCAAGAAGGCCAAGGAAGAAGAAGCTTCTGTTGAAGCCGCGGACGAGGCCGCAAAGGAAGCCGCAAAACAAGTCAACGCCGATCCCACGACGGCCAAAGAAAAGCCTCCCAACCCAAACGAGGAGAAGAAGTAGCCTCAGCAACGACTTGTAGGATGATGGATGTGTGTAATGTTTGTAATGTATGCTCTCTAGACGTGAGCTGGTCCCGGCTGATGTATGGATGACGATAAGCCCCGCTCTGATAGACAGACTCTTCTCCATTGCCTTTGGGTTGGGCTAGAATTATGAAGTTTCCTTCCGCCATGATGACGAAGAATTTGTGGATTTGTTCAGTGTGGCCGGTAGTGGGAAGACCATGACATCTACGCAGCCTCGGTAGCTGAGTACATGTGGAAACCGTGGGCTCGAAGGGCCGGTAGACATCCACAGATACACATCAACCCAAATGCCAGCGCAACCCGGCGAGCGGTGTCTTTGGAGAAGGGACTGCGTAGTCTGGGCACGAGCGACCCCCACTGCCGTGAAGTCTCGTCCGCATCGTCGTCGGCCTCGCAGAAGAAATCATACTCCTCGCCCTCATGCTCCTTCCAGTGCGCCGCCCGGATGTGGACCTTTGGCTGCTGCTTCTTTTTCTGCTGCTGATTCTGAGACGGCGGCCACGGCGGCTGGTTCGAGGTAGCCATGACGACGAGGCCCCTCGCCGCGACCTCATCTTGGCGATCACACTCTGCGAGGATGTCGAGAATCTCGTCCCTCGTGTACATTGTGCTCTCCCGCGTCAGGGCCTCTGACTTCCAGGCCATGGCGGCCTTGTGGCGGAGGAGTCTCTGGGTCGGGCTCACGTCGCCGCGGCCCTGCTGGCGTCTCTTTTCGCGTAGTCTTTGGCACCGTTGCGGTGCGATGGCGTGGACGTCTGGGTTTAGGGGTGAGGGCACGAGGGGGCTGTAGCCTGCCCTGTTTGGTAGTTGTGACATTTGAAGCATTTTTGTGATTGTGTGTTGGTGTTTCTTTTCTTCTTCTGTTTTTTTTTATGTTGGCGTGTCTATCAGCGTAGTGATGTTTGTTCGTCAAGAGACGTATAATTAGGCGTGTGATTAGGGCGATGATCGATTTAGAAGATGTGGATTCTTCAGTGTTTCTTTGGGAAGAAGCAGACGTGGGTCGCTTTCCGGGAGGGTTGGTGGTGTTGGTGAATGGTCAACCTCCCGTCCTCGACATGGTGTTGTGGAGAGAATTATGATTGCTCCAGAGGGCGAGGGAGGGGGATGGAGAAGGTAGCCAATGTCAATAATGGAGGCGAATCAAAAAAAAAAAAAGTGAATTGGGTGATTGGTATGCTGGCTTGTGTGGTGAAGAGATAGGTAGCCCCGAGATATGAGAGATATGAAAGCTGAGCGCCCCGTCTGGAATGTCTCTGGAGGGAACTAGACACGAGAGGGATGGAGCCCGGCGTTCCTCCCTGGTGTCAGTTGCGAGATTTCACCCTGTAACTGCAATGTTCCACACAACTCTGTAAGTATGGATAAGAGGTAAGAAAAGAGAGACGGGCGGACACACAAGACGCACAAATAATAATAAAAAACGAGAGGATGAAATGTGAAGGTGGGATTTGCGAGAGAAAGTCGCGAGTTGAGTGCGGGCGTGTCGGATGTGCCAATTGATATGGGAATTAATTTATGGCGGAATCGGCATGCAGGCAGGTATCTCTCCATCCGTCTCTCTCTCACTCTTTCTCGGCTTGCAGCACGCCACGCCTCTCTCGCTCGTCGTCCGTTCCCCCGATTCCCTCCGTGAGCCGTGGGACCGTGGGCCCGTAAGCGTGAAGTAACCTCCAGGACCCATGGGTCCTCGTCCTCCCCCAGGTTGGGGTTGGAGTGGAGGAAACTCCACTTGCCTAAAGCGGCCGCTTGGGCACAGGGAAACGAGTCTCCCATCAGCCAATGGTTCGAGGCCGCCGAGAGATGACCACGAATGTACTAAGGTACATAAGAGGAGGTACCTTACGGCAACGTGATACGGTAGAGGGACAAGAAGTTCCGGCCCACGTCTAGGCCCGCGCCTTTTCCTCTCTTGCTCTCTGCTTCTGGCTGGCTGCTGTTGGAGTGACTGCGTTGCGAAAAGCGTTGACCTGCTTGCCTGCTTGCCTTGGTCGATCCATCGGCCGCCCGGTGGTAAAGTGTGCATGGACTCCAGACGTCCGAGCTTGTGAAAAGTCCGAATTACATCCACTGCCTTGGGAGTCACTCATTGAATTCGTCTCCAGACGATCTCTACCTAGACCACGGGCCGCCGCCCGCGAAAGAGGGTCTTCCACCACAAGCAGCAATGTCTAGTACCTAAGGAGAATGTTGAGGGACTAGTTCGAACCTCCTCCCAGTATTGGCAGGAGAGAGCTTGGTGAGGGTGGTGTCCTTTTCGCCATCGGGGTTACTTCTCGACCAAACATTTTGTGCGAGTGCTCCCTCTCCATCAGATCGAGGGGGGCGTAATAGTACTTTGGATACCATGTTATGCATGGCCCAAAGTAAGTACCTCACCACAAAACCACATGGGGAGGGAATCTGAGAAATGAGTTCGCAAACCTCGGTGCGTCAGCTCTGGAATCCGTGATAATCTTTTATTCCCGTCGCCCACAACCACCCACGGCACGCAGAACCATTTCCCCCGAGTCCTGTTGCCCTTCCAGTGAAAAGCCACCGAGGCTTGTTGCTTTGCATATGTTCGGCGGATAGGCCACTAATGTTCGCCACAATGACAAAAAATCCGTTTTCAACACCCTGTCAGGTGTAGATTGTCCAATGGCTTGTTTTCTTGTTTTCTTGCTGCGCCTCCATTCATATTTGCTAATGCCAATCTGTTCAGCTTATTATTACCTTGTGGAATTTTGACTTGTTTCCCACTAGGCCAAAAATAAATAAATGGGGGGGGGGGGGGTTTGACAGCTGTGATGTACCGCGCAGTTACATAGGCAGTAGGAGATCGGGGAACGAGAAGGGCCTTTTATTGATTTATTTCCCTTTCTTTCGTTTTCTCGACGATAACCTTGATAGTGATGTCTTATCTGATATCTCCCCCCAACCCCTCTATCGCAGGCGTGCACGTCCTAAATGATGCCCTTGCACCCAAAAACAAAAATTGAATGTTGCCATCATCCCTGCCTTCCCAGTCCGGGGCGAAGGATTTCCAGGGATCGCAATCACCAAAGTCTGTGTGTGAATCTGCCCTGAACTTGGGTACCGGTATCCGTTACCCCCGTACCAAACAGAGTCCGAAGAAGCCAAGAGAGATCATCGCCGTTCGAATACGTCAATCTGCAGCGCGGCATCATTGGGGGGAGAGAGAAACGAACGGCAGACATTCACGTAACCAATTCAACAGTCCACTTTCAGAGTTTCCTCAACGATTGAAACCTTGTCAAGTCAACAGAGGCGTTATCGACCCCGCGAATGATGGGAGAAATATGGAGCCCGCCCGGGCGGGAAGATGCGCCCGTCTCGTCCAGCAGCATCCACTCGAGTAGATATCCTTGTACCTTTTTTTTCCTCTCCCGGCGTCCATTCGCGCATGTCTCTCTCTACCTCACTATCTAATCGCACTTCAGGTCTGGACTATCTCCCTCGGCTCCCTGTGGGGGGGTTTTGAGAACATGCCATTCACAACCACACTTGCTTTTTTTTAATGTGCCAGCTTTCTATGGCGCTGCATGGCAACCATGCGAAAGTCTCGACGGCAAGTTGCATGTTTGTGATAAAACAATCCCATCTGCTAGTCCCCCTCGGCTAGCTATCGTGACTGGACTGTTTGGGAGTTGTGGGTGGGTATATGTAGCGTGAGGGTCTCGAGGAGTACATCTGTGCTTGATACTACTTGTTTAAGGCTGAAGGTTCTGGGTGCTCTTACATCTTGCGACCGATCTCGTCGTCAATGATACAGCCGTCATGCTGCGTGGATTCTAGAGAACGATGACGATCAAGAAATGTCTAGCCTACAGACAATTTAAGTCTAGAGTCTCATATTCACCACTCTTGGGATTCTTCCCCTGTTCACGTTGCTGTCGTCCTCCCAAGTATCCTTATTTACATTCGACCGCCGTTTGTACGATCAGAAGTCCATATCCAAAGAAACTTTACGATATTAGAATGACTGACGCTTTCTGGTCCTCCCCCTTTACCCTTCCTCTCGCCCTTCCTGTATCACCCACATCAGATCACCTCTTAATACACACTGCCAACTCAATTGCCTCCATCGCTATGATCAAAAACCGTCTGCGCCGATAGACAAATCGGCATTGAGGACGGCTACCCACTTATTACGCTCTTATGCAGATAATCTACCCCGGGCCAAGTCTCTCTACGGAACGTCATATACAAGGGGTAGACGGCGGCTTACAAGAGTGACCATGACGTCGGGAGGTTCAGTCTTCTTCCTCCTTTGGGACTCATCGATGACATTCATTGATACATATCGGCCATCTTACGGAGTATACCCTTTCGCTATTTGTGATACTGTCCTTGTCCTCCGATATTCCTTCACACCAATCACATACAGATCAAACAGTTGATGTACAACGCGTATCAAAGCCAGACAACGGCCATCACAGTCACAGCAGAGCGAACAACTCCAAACAGAGTATGTGTGTGTGGTCATCAATTCCGTAAAGCCTCTATTTTTTGTCACAATAAAAACTTTTGACTACCTTGACCCACGGGGCCGCAACGCCTGTCCCTCTAGCAGCAAGCAGCCCGAGCCATCGTACCCGAATCCCGTAGGACGTCCGGGGGAAAACCAAGAAAAGAAACACGGAAAAACACACGCGACATTATAGGTATAAGCGTGGAGAATTTTGCAAAGCTTGTCCCAAGGTGTTTGGGGGGTGGTGGTGGTGATGGTGATGTACGTGGAGTTGGAAATCGCGCAGGTGATGGTGATTTGGGCCCCGTATGGTGCCATATCAGTTCGCGGCAGACTGGGGAGTCGAGACCTCGGATTCTCCACCACCACCACCGTCACCGCCTCCTCCACACGTGGCGGCTGCGACAACGGGGGCGCTGGCAATCACTTCGGCAATCCGAGGCTTTTTTGCTGCGCGGCCAGAGTCCGAGAGGTCCAGGGCATCTCTGACCTCCTTGAGCTCCAGCTCCATCTCGTCGAGGCGCCGCTTGAGGTTGTTCTCTCTGCGATGGCTCTCGTCCAATTGCTTCTTACTGCTCTCGAGCTGAGCCCGGAGCTGGGCCTCGGCCTTGCCACTGATTTCTTGTCCCCTTCTTGCGCTTGCTTCGTCTTGCTCCATTTGGCCGAGTCGACCGCGGAATAGTTCGTTGATAAGCTCCAACTCGCTGACCCGGGTTTTGAGGGCCGAATTAGCGGCAATGAGCTGTTCATGTGTTTGTGGGGCGTCGAGGTGACGGTCGCCGTTCAGGGGGGAACCCGAGCGGTTATCCGAGCCAGAGACGTTGAAGCCCTGCAGTCCAGCCTGAAGCTGCGCATCGTCCATACCCTGGAAGACCGGGAGGCTAGGATTGTATAGAGACGGGGTCGCGGTACGAGAAACGGGGGAGTCAGAGCCATCCGGATTGCCGTTTGACTTTTGCGACTGTCTGCGCTGGTTCTGTCCATGGATGTCGAGGCCGTTCGGATCGTTTGCGCCAAACTGATGAGCTTGTTGTTGCTGCTGCTGTTGCTAGGAACATGATTAGCCAAAGCCAGGCAATGCATACGAGCCACATACCTTCTTCTTAGACGCAAGATCAGGGCGCATCGTCTTCACGCGGTTTCGACTCTTGATCACGTCGGTCTTGAGCGAGATCGGACGCGGACGACCCTAGTACCAGGTTAGCTCGCCTCTGTATGAGAAGCATAGGGTAGACTTGCATGCAATTTGAGGAACAGTCCGCATGCGTTGCAGAGAACTGATCCATATTCATCGCGCCGCCATAAGGGCGTGGTTGAGGTCTGACAGTTTTGGCATGTTGGCTGCGTCGATTCGTTAGCTTGGGTGGCCATCATGGTGCGCAACGCCAGCGAAATGATCGCAAAAGATTTCGTAAAGTGATTTTGAGTATTTTCTCCAAAGAAATTCGAAAGAATATGCTTGTTTGCTTGTTTGTGGTGCTTGACGGGGTGAAGCGCGCGATGAGAGTTGGGACTCTGGTATTGGTGTTGACGAATGTCGCTGCATGGGAACAAGAAAACTTATCTGTGGAGCAAAGATAAGACAGGGAAGGAACGACCGCGGCCAGTTGCTGCCCCACACCTGCCTTGCAGGGTTCATTGGTTCTTAGATAACAGCAATACCTGAACGGTAATTGCGATAACACTAACGCAGGAGATGGGGGATTTTCTTGGGGTTCGGGATTGGACTCGATGATAAGATTCCCGCGATGGTCTCCGTACAAGGTGGGATAAGGTAAGGTAAATGCAGACATACCGTGGTGGACCCTCCGCCAGAAGCGTAAGTCGGCGTCGGCGCGGGAGCTGGCGCGGGCGCGGGCGCCTGAGTCGGTGTGGAGGCGGCAACAGGAGCGGGCGCGGGAATCGCTTCTCTGTGGATGAAAGTCAGCACATGAAGCTCTCGTCACTTTCTTGGTCCAATTTCCTTGCATCCCGTCTCGACTGATTCTCCCAGCACTGAAACCGGGCTCTGGACTGGCCAATGATATTGCAGCAGAGAGGGACTTGTCAATGGAGCGCGATGGCTAAATCGTCTACTTTTTGCCAGATTGACTCCAAAGTTACTCAACCAGCGCGCGTATAGCGCATGTGAATTTTGGCCACCAGGCTGGTCATCCATCTTGTCCCTCTGCGCCTTCTTCATTTCTTCGCCTGGCACCAAGCATACTGACGTACCGCATCTGAGGCGAGCTCGTCGCAGAGTTGTTGGCCTGGGCAAGCGCTGAGATGCCTGGCAACTGAGGAACCGTCGAGGCCGCGGCGACAACTGCGGCTGCGGATGCGGATTCCGATGTTGACGTGGAACTGGGCCGCGAGATCGTCTCGAGATTCGTTTGTGGCAACGCGAGGGTGGCCAGAGCCGTGGCTTCCTCCATGACGTCTCGAAAGGATGGCAGATCGTGATCGTGCTCGTGCTCTGCGAGGTTGTCCAATGCCGGAGCAGGCGCAGAAGGCTCTCGAACGGCAGCCAGGATGGCGGTTGCAGCGAAATCGTCGCGGACGGGAGGTTTCTGTTGAAGGAGGGGAGGCTTTCGTATGCCGCTTCGCGATCGCAGGATGCGCGTGTGGTGCAGTCGCAAGCTTTTCGCAAGAGAGACCCAAGTACAGGGCTCAAAAAAGGGGCTTGCGTCGAGAATTCGGGGCGAGGCGTGAAGTTGAGGTTGCGAGACGTGTGTGTGTTTGTGTAGTCAGGCCGTGGGTGGTAGATGACAGGTGCAGATCCGTAGGAGGGCGAAAAAAATTGTTCAGCGGAAAGACGCGCTGGAGGCGACTCAGAAAGGAGCAAATGGTTGAGTTGGAGGGGGAGGCAGGTACGTTCCCTAGGCCAGAATTGCGGGGAGAAAACTAAGGTTACAAGGTGAAGCTACAGCCAGGTCTCAGACATTGAAAAGGCACGTTGGACGCGAAAAGCTGGTTGTCTTTTAGAATAGGGGAGAATGGATGGAATGGTGAATGGATTGATTTCATCCCGCATCCCCTTAATCGATCAGGATGGAGGGTCAAATTTACTGGGGATGGACGGGACGCGATAACTGCGAACTAATCCTATCGGCGATACTGATTACCCAGCGGTCGTCCCACTGGACCGTATTACGGAAGCCGCGATTTGATTGGATCGGCTACCCAAGTCAGCCTTACAGCACGCGCTGCGCTGATGTGTCAGGATCTTGAAGTTTTCTCTCCTTGATCATCAGAAAGAGTAGGTAATGTTTAGGGGGGTCACAGCGGCCCCTGTACCCGCAAGCATAAGCGCTGAAAGAAGGTTCGTTGTTATCTGATATGAAGATCTCACGGCGACGCCGACTCTTACCTAGGGTGGTACGGATACACTTTGCAGATTCCCGATTTGGAGCGCCGGTGAAAAAAACTCGAACGTGTAATCGATCATTCTGTTCAGAGGCGCTGGAAGGGTTCGAAGTTCCAAAGGCCTGCGCAAATGACACGCGCCAGAACACAATTAATCATAATCCGCGATATCTACTTTAATGGTGGCTCGCACACAGGAGTTCGCAACTACCACGTTGGCAGCTGTGAAAGCAGCGGCCCTGGCTTATTGAAAACGTCGTTCCGATGCGCATCACTAATCCGCGACTAGCTGACTTACTGCTACTTTAAATTGTAAACATTGTACATTGTCAAGGTATCAATGCGAATGTCACTGCCCACGATGTTAGCTGGGCCGGCTTCGCCTGGCGGAGTCCCATAAAAACCGGTGTGTACCCCACGTGCCGTCTCCAGCGTTATCGATAAGAAAAAGTTCGCCGCAGCCACCAGTAGGTAAGTAACTACGAAACTTTTCTTGCATACAATTCGGGCGTCACTCGTCTTTCATACACGCGACAACCGACAAGATGCCCTCCGTATACAACAAGGACAAGCCGTGGGATACGGACGACATTGACAAATGGAAAATCGACACCTTCACACCGGCCGACAACGCCGGCGGCACATTTGCTGAGGAATCCTCCTTCCAGATCGTTTTCCCCAAGTACCGCGAAGTGTACCTCAAGGAGGCATGGCCTCTCGTCACAAAGGCCCTCGAGAAGACGGGCATTGCTTGCTCGCTCGACTTGATTGAGGGCTCAATGACCGTCAAGACGACAAGGTCGGTCACCGATATTGCGATTCTATTCCTCCTCAGTGCCTAGCCTACAGCAACTAACATGATCTGCCTCCAGAAAAACATTTGACCCCGCTGCCATCCTCAACGCCCGCGACCTCATCAAGCTCCTGGCCCGAAGCGTCCCCGCGCCGCAGGCTCTCAAGATCCTCGAAGACGGCGTCGCAGCCGACATCATCAAGATCCGCAACCTGGTCCGCAACAAGGAGCGCTACGTCAAGCGCCGCCAGCGCATCCTCGGCCCCAACGGCTCGACCCTCAAGGCCCTTGAGCTGCTCACTCAGACCTACATCCTCGTGCAGGGTAGCACCGTCTCCGTCATGGGACCCTTCAAGGGCCTCAAGGAGGTGCGCCGCGTCGTCGAGGACTGCATGGAGAACATCCACCCCATCTACCACATCAAGGAGCTCATGATCAAGCGCGAGCTCGCAAAGGACCCGGAGCTCGCCAACGAGAGCTGGGACCGTTTCCTGCCTAATTTCAAAAAGAAGACGCTCAGCCACCGTCGCGTGCCGCATCAGGTCACGGACAAGTCGAAAAAGGTCTACACGCCCTTCCCGCCCGCGCCCGAGAAGAGCAAGGTCGACAAGCAGATCGAGACGGGCGAGTACTTTTTGGGCAAGGAGGCCAAGAACAAGGCCGCGCAGGCCGAGCGCTTGGAGCAGCAGAAAGCGAAGAAGGAGGAGAGGCTGCGCGAGAGGGAAAAGGACTTTATACCCCCCGAGGAGCTCGGCCACAAGAGGAAGAAGAGAAAGAAGAGCGAGGACGACGAGTAAGGGGGGAGTGGGATCTGGGACGTGGAGAAGGCGGAAGAAGTTGTGTAGACTGGGGCAGGTGTATGTTGCATCTTTGCAGAAAAGGGGTCGCCACATACGTAAGTGAGGTATTAGCTCACTCAAGATACCCTTCCATTCAAGAGTCCAAGAGTCGTCTCACACGTTGGCAATCCACTCAGACTACACCACCTCAAGGGTTTGTAAATCAAAAGCGAAATGTCACTGTAGGGGAAAAGTCACGATGTGTTAATGCAATTGTCTTGAGAAATTGAGGTGTTGACTATCCAGGCTTGGTGAGCCGGACTGATCTTTATCTCCAACCTGATGTATCCCCTATCCCCTGGCAAGTTCTGTTTCTTTGTATATGATCCGAATCCGTCACCTCTATTGCGAAAGGTACGTGATGAAGGTATCAATTACGCAAAGCAACAAATCCCAGCATTCGTCTACCCCTTAGTTAACTGTACCGATCTGTCCTCCTTTCTTTGGTTTCATAGAGCAGTCAAACGTCCGGTGGTAGTAGTAGCTAGCCGGGAAAGGACCACCCTCCGGCTCTCCGGGATAGTAAATTTCCCATCCGGGAGCATAGCTATTGTAGTACTTGCCACCATACCTACAACAAATCGTGTTAGATTTCATTGGACAAGGAGCAACATAAGGTTTTGAGAGGACAGCACTTACGCCATGTGAGGCCATCGGTCCTTGTGGGCGAAGAAGAGAGTGACGAAGGGAAGGGGACTGCAGATCGGCTGCCAGTCGCCCCATTGGAAAGGCACGTTTTCTCCAATATGGTCGCAGGCGTTGTTAAAGACCCAGCCGCGGCTAGGCCACTGCGCCCAGCCCGGCCAGTCGGCCTGGCACCAGAGACCGAGCTGGCAGTCGCCGACGATTGGGCTTGGAGTGCACCAGTTCTGAGGGTCAGGAGGTCCCTTCTCGAGGTCGTAATTTGTGCCGCATTTCGGTTGTCGCTCGTCGATGGTGGAGAGGGATTCGTTGTGCTGTTCAGGGTTGTATTCGAGGGGCTCGTACTTGCGATCGAGGCCGGCGGTCTTGACGAGGTGAGCCCACATCTCTTTGTTGACGGGAATGATCTTGTGACCATGCTTGAGGGCCTCCTCTTCGGTGATGTTGAGAGGGTTGTCGTGAGGAAACTCCCTGGGAGCAAGGTGAGGGCCGAGGGCAAAGTTGCGATTGGAGAGACCATTGCTGAAAGTGTCCTCAGTGGAAACCCCGACAGTGTTGAGGTCTGCTATGGAGCCTGTAGCAGTGACGACATTGACGCTCGCAAAGAGCATCAAGGCCACCGCCATGACAAGGAACATGGCTTTGTGCCACATCGTGGGAGTGAGGGCTGCGTAGAGTGTGTTTGTGATATGATTATCGGGGTTTGATTTGTTCATGTGGTTGAGATGGGAGAGGGAGAATCTTTTCTTGTCTGTCGTAGGTGAAAAGAAGGAGCTTGGCGAACAGAGAAAGATACCTCCAGGCGGGACCCTTCGTCCGGGATGAGGGAAGAGGGAAGTTTCGGCTGAAAGAAGCCATTGGCCAGGGCTAGAGGTGAATTTTCATCATTTCCAAGAGCACCCATCACGTGTGTATATTCACCAACCTACACGTGTGTGGACCAAAGTTCAGGTGAAGCCCATGCCTAGATTGGGGTAGTAGAGTAGATTCAACGAGCTGAATTGGGAAGGCTTAACCCAAACAAAGACAGGAAGTTCTCCGCAAGAGCCCATGACGTTGTTTGTGTTTGTGCGAGATCTCTTGAAAGACAATGTAAAGGCCCAAACATATCTCGATGAAAATCCCATAGACAACAGCTAGTGTTAGATGCCTCCCACGAAGAATGGTCTTGCAGAAGACAGCGATGTTCTTGAGGCTACCTACACAGCTAGTTGATAAGTTGGAGGATGTAATTGGCTTGCTCAGTTACCTTGACGTGAGTTGATTGGAAAGTCTCAAAGATAGCGGTCAACCAAATGGAAGCATTCGATACTAAGGAGGCTTAAGTAAGAGCACTTCCATTCCTTGCCAGGTTTTGATTAAACTCAAAGAAATCCTCGTGACTATCAAGGATACTCTGCATATACTACGTCGTACATGGCGACACAAAGTTCCCCCTTACAGCTTAGGCGACGCAGAGGGCTCCTCAAACTCAACAACGAGTTTGCCAAACTGTTTCCCCGCCTCCATATCCTTGAACAGTCCGTCAATCCCCTCGAGGTTCGTCAGTCCCTTGACCGTCCGGCTCACCACAGGCCTAATCTTCTTCTCCCTTACAAAGGCAACCATGTCCCTAAACTCCTCGCGCGAGCCCATAGTCGTGCCCTTGAGCTCCACGTTCTTGAGCACAGCCTGCATCAGCCAGTCCATCTGCGGTGACACTGTCATGCCGTACTGGCTAATGACACCGCCCGGCTTGAGCACCTTGACCGCCTTTCCAACGAGATCTCCGCCGGCACCGTCGACCACGGCGTCAAGATACGGCCTCGACTTGGGCAGCTGGGCCTGCAGCTCCTTCTCCCACCCTTTGGTCTTGTAGTTCACGCCCCCCGCGGCGCCCATGCTCTTGGCCTTTTCAATCTTGGCCTCGTCGCCAGAGGTTACGTAGACGTTGCAGCCAAATGCAACAGCGAACTGGAGGACCTGGAGCGCCACGCCGCCCCCGATGCCCGTGACGAGGATGTTCCTGCCCTTCTCCGCGTTTCCGCTCTTCGTCACGAGCGCGCGCCAGCCGGTGAGCCCGACGAGGGGTAGGGCGGCGCCCTCGGCGGGGGTGAGGTGCTCCGGGGCCAGCTCGACCTCGTCCTGGGGGAGGGCGAGGTAGTCTTGCGCGGTGCCGTCCGGGTACGTCTGAGTGGCGCCGATGACGCTGAATTTGCGAATGTCTTCCGGCCCGTCCGGGCTCGAGGCCCAGCCGCGGCTGGGTGTGATGAGAACAGGCTTGTTGAGGAGGCTTCTGTCTGCGTCCTTTCCGACTTCGACTACGATGCCGTATCCGTCTGCCATGAGCGGGTGGTCAAATGAGATGCCTGGGTACAGGTGGCGCCGGATGAAGAGATCACGGTGGTTGAGAGCCGCGGCCGTTAATCGCACCAAGACATCTTTGGGCCCTGGAGTCGGCTTTGGGATCTCATTGAGTTGGAGGCTGAGATTCGAGTTAATTACGATGGTTTAATTAGCTGTGGTGGGTGATACCTTACGGATAATACACCTTTCCGGGCTTCCCCTCGATCTTTTTAACGGTAATGGAGTGAGGCATTGTCAATACTTTGAAAAAGATGGTGTCGTCACCAGTTCAGGTAAGAACCACTTTGGTTTTACAAAGTCAATTGAATGGGGGCTACGCCAGCTCTTATGTGAACAGAAAGGATTGAGCTGAACGAGATTAATAATATGAGATGCCGGATTGCTGCCGATGTTGACGTTGTGATTTGGTGGCGGGAATAGACGTCCCCCGGCCTCCCTCCACTCAGCCGGGGCCGAACTCCCCGCATTTAGTGATGAGACCTCGGCACATTCCCCACGCGGCGGTGGCGCGGGGGGGGGGGGGCTCCTGCAATGCATGGGCCAATGAATGTAAAATTACGGAGTAAAACACCAGCACTTACATGTGCTCTACCCATTTCGATCTTCGTGACAACTTCACGTGGGCATGCGAAAGTGAAATGCTGGCTGTCGAAGAAGGATTCCCTGGATTTGTTTCATGTTCGTGGCCAGAGGTAACTAATTATACAGAAGACGCTTCCGCATCCCTCATCTCTTATACACGGGAGTCAACTAAGCTCTTTTCCACGCTCACACTACACAGCATGAAATTCCCTTTCACCAAGTCACACCCTGCATCTTAACAGGCACATGCAACAACCGATCCCCAGCCTTAGTCGGACTCGGCATATTTCCAGCCCTCACATTAACCTGCAGCGCCCAGTGCAAGAGCCTGGGCTCGCCGAGCCCCGAATCCCTCTCCTCGCGCCACTTGACAAAGTCCTCCTCCGTCACGTTCTGCGCGAGGTGCTTGTTCTCCGTCTTTTGCCTCGCGACCTCCGTCGCCGCCAGGGGCCCGCGGTGGGCTGGTGGGTAGTCGTGGCCCGTCCAGATCTTGGTGGTCTCTGGGAGGTCCAGCAGTCGGCGCGCCGACGCGAAGAGGTCGCGGGCGTCGCCGCCGGGGAAGTCGCACCGTGCGGACCCGACGTCGTGGTTGAAGAGGGAGTCGCCCGCAAAGACGTTTGCTATTGAAAGTTGTGGTTAGTATGGGGCTAACACTTCTTCTTCCTGACTGTCTGTGGGGAAGTGCTCACCTCCGATCATGTAACCCATGTGGTCAGGCGTATGACCCGGCAGATGGATAGCCTTGGCCTTGAGCTCTCCAATCTCGAAAACCTCGTCGTCGTCGAGTAGCCGGTCGAAGGCATTGGCGTACTCGTCTTTGGAGATGCCATACTTTTCAGCGAACCTCTCTTGTACGACTCCAATCCGCCTGCCAATGCAGATATCGGGGGCCGCGCCATCCTGAGCCTCCCGCAACCGAGACTGCAGATATTTGGATGCCGTCAAGTGGTCGGCGTGGACGTGCGTCTCTAGTATATTGACAACTTTGTAGCCGTTCTTCTTTACCACATCAAGAAGGCCGTCGGCTGTTTGTGTAGAGATGGCGTTCTTTGCTGGATCGAAATCCAAGACAGAGTCGATGATTACAGCGGCTTTGGTTGAGGGGTCGGCAACGATGTACTGCCAGGTTCCTGTCACCGACTCAAAGATCTCGTGGATTCTGGGTTCTTGGGCCATGTTTGAGTGTGTAAGTGAGGCGTTGAGTATATGTTCTCGCAACTGGTTGACTCTGTTCATCGGCTGGTTCTGGTGTGGTTTTGCTAGTAATGCAATCCAAAAATGAATGATTCAACTTCATGGTCACCCTCTCAACCCTTATATCTAAACCCTGGAAACATCTCATCTAAGCCTCGCCGTCCATGAACCCATAACGATAGCATGAAGTCCCTCGGTCACGATAGTAGTCACCGAAAGAAGCATAGGCTTACGGAAGCCCCCGAGAGGTTCAAACCATCCCGGTGAAGAAGGGGTCTCCACTCTCGGTGATGCCCGTGCGTTCCGGCAGTTCCCCGACGTCGGCGACCGTTTCTTCAAAGTGGTCGCCGTCCTCCTGCAAGTCCTTTGGCTTGGGAAGGAGAACAACCCTGGCGGGCTGGGGCAGACCCGAAACCATCCCGGGGCGGGATTCACTTAATTCTCCTGCAACCTTATTGATCCCCCCTTCTTCAGACACCTTGCTCTACCCAATCAATCGTTTGTTGACGGACTTCAATGTCCTGAACTGCCGACCTTCCACAACGGCGCACGCACCACATGCATCACCTGTTCTTAAATTGCATCTTTATCCCATTGAGAATTTGAACTGCGTGCAAAGTAAACTGCCATACTCTTTCAAAGGAATCATCTACTCTCACGCGACGAAGAAAACTTCTGATACATAATGCCAAAGGGCTCTAAATAAGCTAGCGCCATGTCGCTAATTAGCTTCCAAAAGGCGTCATTGCTATCCGAAAAGGGAACAAGTCCTAACAACGAACGCCACCACCTATCCGGCACTTACACTCTAAACCGCCTTTGACAAAAGTCAACCCGGACGCCCGGCTCGGCCGCAGAATACGGGATGGGTTTCCCAGCAGGTTGAGGGTGTTCCCTCCTACAGGGGTTGGCCCTCTTCACTCTTCGGCCTTTGACAATGGGGGCTAGATTATTAACCAAGGGCCCCGCTACCCGGTCCATTTTTCCCTCTCTATCTTCAAGTCCCCGAACGGATCTGGGGCTTTCGGGCTTGATTCACTAAGCAGACCCGAGAACTTGGCAATTTCGATACTCTTTTCAGAGGTTTAAGCAGGTTTAGCTTTAGCCTGTATAAGTTCGTCCCGAGACAGCTTGAAGAGTTTGACGATTTTAAACTCCTCTCACACATCACCACCTTCTCGCATAACCACTCATAGAAGAGAAAAACCTCTCATATATACAACACACAACCCAAACTCCCGGCCTGCAGCAGTTCGTCCCAGAACGCCCCCGGCGGACAGACACTCTCTCATACTCCCTCTCTTACTCTCACACACATATCTACAGCCCACCAAGCGATGGCAACAACAGCCCTATCCGGCGCCGCATTCGGCGCCGCCCTGGTAGCGGCGGGCGTCTACCAGCCCTCCGTCATCATCGCTCAGCTCAAGTTCGAGAACTGGCACATGATCCAGGCCTTCCTCGCAGCCGCAGCAAGCAGCACGTACGTCCAGCCGTCTCAGCACTTGCTTCCCCTTTGGTCCTCTCAAACAACTGACACGAATACAGCGTCTTCGTCCTCGTACTGGACCAGGCGGGCTACGTCCGTCCCAAGCCCCGAAGCCCCTCGCGTCTAGGCATCTTCTCAGAGTACGACGGCAACATCCTCGGCGGCTCCGTCCTCGGCGCCGGCATGGCCCTTTCCGGCTCCTGCCCCGGCACCGTCCTCGCCCAGATTGCCGTCGGCACCAAATCTGGCGTCTACGTTCTCGGCGGCGCCGTCCTCGCCGGCATCATGTGGACCGGCTTCCTCCAGAAACTCCTCACCAGCAACGCCAGCTCGGCACCGCCCGAAAACCCCAAGCTCACCGTCCACGAGCGCGCCGGTCTGAGCAGGGCCGTCGCCTTCGTCGGCGTGGAGGTCCTCTTCGCGGGCGTCATCTACACCAGCATGAAGTATACTCCTGCGAGCCCCTACGCCGTCGTCGCTCCCACCATCGGCGGACTCCTGATTGGTCTGGCGCAGCTCTTCTCGCTGCTCTCCCGCAAGTCCATGCTCGGTGTGTCGACTTCCTACGACGAGATTGGACGGTACTTCTGGTGGGCGGTCCAAGGCGGCGGCGAAAAGGGGAAGCCGTCGTACAGCAACATCCTCTTCTCTGCGAGCTTGGCTGCCGGCGCGTGGGTTGTTGCGACGGCATACCCCGAGTTCGCCCTTGGTGCTGCTGGTACGGCTGTCTCGCCACAATTGGCGGCAGTAGGAGGCTTCCTCATTGGTCTAGGATCTAGAATTGGTGGAGGTTGTACTTCTGGTCATGGACTCAGCGGCATCTCCCTTTTCTCAACTGCCAGCTTCATCACAGTTGCCTCAATGTTCGGCGCTGGAGCCCTCGTTGCCTCCTTTGTCTGATGCAAGCCGTATCTGGAGAACTTATTATCGAAATGGCGCCTACGAGGGCCGATTTAGTTACCAAGTCCTGAAGCGGCTTGACGAAAGTTCACCCTTCCTCTCGTGCAGTTGCGCAGCGAAAAAGGTGGAACTGCCACCGCATTGAGGTGGTCGGCCGCGTTTACGACCGTATAGCCGCCAGTCGTGAAGATCATATACCAATTAGAGACACCTCAGCTATAATACGTGAATACGTGTCAATGGCCTCAACACTAGGCGAAACGCTCAGCTGAGATTGGGCCTACTGCATATACATATTGCCTGTAGGTCGATACATTAGGCAGTCACAAATGATAGAAACTTTCGCACCCACATGTTTAAACCCATTCCCCTTCAGCTGAAAACAAGAAGTCCCCAGCGGATGCTTCGTTCAGTCATTCTTCTTCAGACCACTAAGCCATCATACCTATATCCTTGACATCCAGCGCCTAGTTAACACTAAGAGGCATATTCTGGATATTGCCGGTGAAACAGCAACACAAACTCGACAACTATTTGCACACAAATGTGCAATAATGGCAGCAAAGATGACCCGTGCCTTTCTGTTCACGGTCGTTCTCGCTGCAAGCGTTGCAGCAGATGATGGAGACGACTTCATCAATAATCTGTTCTCAGACCTAGCACCGTGAGTCTCACACCCTCAGATCCTTCATCCTAGGTCAAAAGAATGTATACTAATAGACTGTATACCGAAAGGCTGCTCGCCCTACTTGGAGAGAGGGTCACTATGCAGTTTATGAGTCAATCACTCGGCTGGGCTGATAATGTCGTCTTGGCTATGGTGCCTCTCGGAATCGTTACAATCATCGTCAGCGCTATCCGGGTCGGAGGGCCCGGATTCCTTAAGGCTCTCATTGGCAGAGCTAGAGAGAATCTTGCTGTTGCTGAACAAGAGCTAATGTCGTCTACATCAACAGAGGTCTGCGAGCTCTGGAACGGCCATGAAGTAGTGAGATGTATGGGGTCGGCTCCAATTGCAGAGTTCATTTGCTTACTGCCTGAATTTGGAGTCACTGAGAATGCTCAAGTGGAGGTCATGCCGTTCGAAAAAGTCAAAAGTCAATATTTTGCTGGTGAGTTCTTCAAGTGGACTTAATGAATACGAGCTCACTCCCATGTCAGAGAACGACCCCCCCCGGAAATATCTTTCGCAAGGCAATGTCGTTGAACATGTCAACTTCCACGGAAGAAGATAAGGAGAAATCATCGAACTCAGCAAATCCATCGAAATCAGGCATCATTATAACACGGAATCCGCGGAAAAGCTCCCCAAATATCACCCTCAATTCTCACAACATCACGAGCAGAGCTGAACTACGCGCAGCGGCAGTATGGGGAACTCTGCCCCAGTTGGGACTCATCGCATACGCCGGATGTTCCGTGCATTACCCAGCATTGGGCTTTCTCAAGGACGGAAACCCCGTCGCTCGGTATGCGTTCCCGTGCCAATGGGTTGGAACGCTTCTGCTGATCGTCGGCCTTCTCCTTTGTGCCCATGTGGTTGAGAGTAGCACCATCGAAAAGAAATACCGGTCCTTGGACAAAATGACGGCACAAGTGGTCTGGTTACAGAAGACAAAAACTGTCAGTGACCAGGTATTTGACTCATTTGCAATCTATGCAAAAACTAAACGGGCTTTCATCACAACGTCGGAGCGGAGGCGTAATGAAAGAAAGCCTTCGGGGTCTCCATCGAACCAGGAAGCTATGTCAACGTTTACTACCCGAGACGAAAAGCCTGGAGTCTCCCTAGAGCTGGGAACGAGCATTGGGATGGCCGTCAGCCTGTGTGGGTATATCGTGCAATTCATTGGCCTGCGTGGGCTACATTGGTCAGTATCGATTGCACAGCTTGGCGCCATTCTCTTGATGACGGGGTTAAGGGCGTGGATTCGGCGAGGTCTCGCAAGTCCGCCAAGATCTCTCCAAACTCCGTTAGGTTTCGAACTCGATTGGTTTGCGACGACATTCGCGGATATCACGAAAAGCCCGTGGATATCTGACGCCAAGTTAGAGACTCAAGCATGGGGCATTCGGTGTTTGCAAGCACAAATCAAAGCATTCGAGGAAGGTGCTCCGCAAAAAGTTTCGACAGTTTCGACTGCCCATCGTGTTGTCATGATCAGGAGACACCTAGTGCAGCTGGCAAACTGGCAGGGGCCGGCGTCCACGGAAGCTGTCTCTCTTGCACGATCCATTGAAGCCGCAATGAATCTTTTCTTTCGGACTCAGAGCAGAATTATTATACCTGGTCTCTCGCAGTCCAGGGAGGAGAGCTCATACATTTTCACTTGAACAGACGAGAAGGGAATTGGAACGCTCCTGCCGATGAGCTTGAAGCAGCCTTATCGATGTGGCTTTTCTCAGTTGATGAGCTTGAGAAGAACGAAGAAATAAATCACCAGGATATTATGGGAGATGAAAAAGACGATGAGTGGTTGCGCGTCAAAGGACCACCCGCGAGACCTGGTTTGCGCGTCCTAGGCCCATACACGGAGAGTTTGCACAGAGATCTCTCGTGGTGGATGCCCATCGAGTCAACCAGGATTATGAGATATTCAACATTGACAACTTCCCCGAAAGATGGCATTCCGAATGATGAAATAAGCAAGGAAACCCACAGAGTCGTCGGGCCTGGTGGATCCGGCATCGATGGTCGGCAATATATTGGAGAAGAATTGCCCGAGTTCACGATCGAAAAAATCCGAACAGAAGATGACGAGAATGGAAGCGGAGGCAACGAAGAAACACCTAAGGCCCTCATTACTATAGAGGATGATAAACCCACCCATGACTTCTTAGCCGCCGAGTTCCACGGGCCCTTGAAGTCGCTATATGCGCAGGACATATTCTCAAGCTTTTTCAGGGCTGCAGCAATGACCCTCAAAGAACCACCCGAAGGCCCCGTGGAAACACGTCCGGAACATGAAGCGACGGCCAGTACAAGCTGGAAGTCTTTTATGCTCCATAGTGACCAGATTTCGAAGCTGGCCAAGGACATCGAGAACACCGGACTTGGCAGCCTCAGTGACGTTTATCTGAGCATGATACCCGCGCTTAGCGTCGAAAACAAGCTTCCTGTGGCTTCTGTCATTATCGAATTAGCAAGAGAGAAGGCCCGACAGCACGAGAAGCTGCAGAAATGGGAGGAGGCGGGAGAGATGTACTTGTAGCTATTCCGCGTCGCCAGAACGTTCACGCTCGAGAATGAACTATCCACTCTAGTAACAGTCATTGTCGTGGATTTCCTGAGGCAAGTCAGCTTGGGCTTAAAATTGGCCGAAAAACAATTACAGGGGTGCGACAGAGAGCATTCGTCAGGGCTCTCGAGAGTCTCATCTCTGAAGCGAACCCTTGAATCTGAGCTTCTTTCCAACTTCCGTGGCTCCATTAGAGCTCAAACGATTTTCGCCGCCCTTTTAAAATTGTATGGGGCTCAAGGACGTCAATGGAAGTGCAAGATCTCTGAGGACCAGGCGTCTTACAGCGAAGCGAAAATAGCGACAACAAAAATATGTGTAGCTGCAGCGAAACAAGCTGCAACGAAAGTATACGTAGCTTCAAAAGTTGTAGCAACAGCTATTGCAAAACGTTGAATACACACACTTTCACGATGCAACCCGGGTCCTGAATAGAGCAGCCACCGTGAAGGCGATGCGTTTCGCGGGAGATATCAACGAAAAAGATGTTCTCGGCTGGATACCTCTGTATTATGGGGTGCGCGACCTCCATATCACTGAGATCTTACTGAGATCGTATGAGATAGAGATCAACGCTCGAGATTTGATCGAATGGACGCCACTTCACTATGCTTGCACGTATCCAGAGAATAAAGACGGGTCAGTTTATGAGGAGGATACAAATATTGACGGCACCATTGAATGCATGGCCTTTCATTCTATCTTGAGCCTCTTGGAGGCAGGAGCGGAAATCAACGCACAAGGCAGACATGGAGTCGCACCGATACACTGTGCCGCATTCGCAGGTTTTGTGGAGGCAGCCACGTTGTTGACAGAGGCGGGCGCAGATATTAACGTTCTTGACGTCTCAGGGAAGACAGCCCTTCACTGGGCTGCATTCTACGGGAAGCAAGCCACGGTTGAATGTTTGTGGAAAACTGCCAACAGAACATTGCGAGATAGAAAAGGGAGAACGGCTTTGCATCTTGCAGTGATCTCGGGGAAATGGGAAACGGCAATATGGCTTGTCAACAATGACGCTGACATCATGGCTAGAGATCGGAAGATGAGGATACCTTTGCATCAAGCTGCTTGGGACGGGATGCTCGACGTTGTGAAATTGATGTGCGAGAAGTGCCCCACTGCTGTGAACACTTCAGACGGAGACGAGCTGACACCACTGGGTTGCGCGGTCAAGAATGGGCAAGAAGTAGTTATCCGATGGCTTCTCGAGGAGACCGCGGCCGGAATTAACCCTGATCGACCGTTCCACGGGGGAGACTCGTTCATGCTTTCGGCTATCAAGCAGAATCGTGCGGATATCGCTGGAATCCTAATCCAGCACGTTGCCTACTTGACGAGAGTATTCAGGAACGAGGACAGCCTACTACAAGAGTCTATCAATCGTAGGACCGGAAAAATCACTGAGATGATTTTGGCAGCAGGTGGAGGGAAACAGGCTGTAGAACCATGGCTTTATGGCTATAAAGAAGAAGAGCATGATAATTCCGATAAAGATTATTCTTCTTATACTGAAGAAACTGATGGAGAAGATGGAGAAGATAGAAGAGATGGAGAAGACAATGATTGATTGCGGGATTTGAGTTACTAGAATGGTGAATGGAGATGAGGAAAAGCAGACTTCTATTAGGCTGCTTAAAAAGTATAATGCATGATTGACATAAGTGGCAGGCATATATTTTCCACCGCACAGAGGATATGTTCAAGCAGAGGTTGGTCAGTTCGGGTGCAAGTTATCGCGACGTGGTTCATTGACAAAGATGGTACGTCGCACTTCTTTGAATTCTCAGAAGGATAGAGTTGACGAGGCTGTTAGGCAATTGGCCGTCTTTTTGACAGCGAGATAGACGAAGACCCTACAACAGTAAATGAGGGAAGCCCGCAATAATGTGGTGGAGGTGAAGTAAGTAGAATAGATGTAAACGTTTATGAAGCTTGGCGGCTCGAGTGAGTCCGTTACATCAAAAAAGACTAGGCAAACTACGCTGACAATGACTTGATTTTACCATTTATGGGCTTCCATCGGGTTGTGATGATCTATGTACATCTGAGACACGTCTCAGTTCGTGTCTCCCGCCCATGAAGTCCTTCGGTGAACACCAAACTCCGCCACAAATGACTCTCTCTTCAAAAGCGAACAGTCATTGGACATAATCCACCGTCAAGCCTTCTGCCGACTGCCCTTTCGAAGCCAGTCGCACGCCTTCAATAGTCATGTCTCATAGCACCAATGCCCTTCCAAGCTTCTGGCTCTTAGACGGTGGAGTTTCAGCTGACAGATTATGTGTTTGCAATTACTCCGGGGTCGGAACATCTAGTCGAGGTTAGAATTTGCTTGGATGAGGCATTGGTATTACCTACGATGCTCGAGCAGGTACACGAGGTTTTGGCTCCGATGGTGACATCGTATGTATCCGGACCGGTCCCGCGAAGACTGAAGCTGACTCCACTATCGAGATCGTTGAACTGCTTGATCACGAACATGTCTTCCTTCATTGCTTTCTTGACAGAACCAACGTGGCCGTTGTCACTCATGTCCACGAAGAAGCGCTTCTCGCCTTTGCTGCCGGTATTCCTGGAGATAGGGCCGAATGGCTCGTCGTCAGGGGCTTCTCTGATAGCAACGACCTCAGGCTTGTACGTCTTCAAGTTCTCGAGCCTCTCAACGAGAACACCCTTCTTCCCATCGTCCGGCATCTCACGCATGACGAGCTGCTCCCTGAGCATGGCAACAGTGAGCTTGGCCCAGTCTGTGTCATCGGGTACTGGGCCCGTGTTGATGCCATAGGTGCAAAGGCCAAGTCGGGTGAGACGCTGGATGTCAGCCGGATACTTGAGAAACGGAGACTTCTTGGACGCAGATTTGGTTGTAGACTTGACGTGGGCTTGGCTCTGGGTCTTCAACTTCTCGTCTGGACCATAGTCGGAGTAGAGAGTAGATTCTTGAATCGAGGAGGAAGGAGACGACAACTCCGAAGATAGAGAGGCGGACATTGTGGTTGTTGAATGACGAATGCTCTTCAACGCCTTTTGCTGGTTGCTGAACTAGACTTTCTCAAACGGATAGCAATCAGAAAAATTGCTCTCGGTAACGATTGGTAAGGGAAGTGCAGAGAGTATGAGAACAAAGATCGTGAAAAGGTCCCTTAAGGTTGAAGTTGTGGGAGAGACTTGGAAGACCACGTCGGGAATATATGCGGAGGTGAAGTGCGTTTGAAGCCTCCTTCCGCCGTACCTGCCTCTCAATTCTCTTCTGGAAGGAGCCATATGAAAGTCATAGGTTCCTATCAAAGACGGCAGCCACGACCATGTATGATGGTCAACTCGAGGGAATGAAGGCAGGTCGTGACCCCCTCGTACCTGACAATCCTGTACTCAAAGTAGGAATGTGCTTTCCTTCATACCGCTCTGAGGGATCATCGGGCGTCGAGGTCTCCAACAATTCCCCTATGATTAGGGCGCTCTGCGGGACCTACTTGCGTTAACAAACGTGGCATGTTGCAAGTCATCTTATCTGCAGCTGAAATCATCTCTCCCCGCTCATCTCATCATCTTTGGACTTTTTAGACTTTCTTTTCTCACACGCTCACTGCTTACTCAAGACGCCAGACTGCTTCAGATTTTAAGAAGGAAAGAGGAAGATGAGGAAGCCGTCCTCAGCACGTGCGTCTTATGGATGCAATCCTACTCAGGTAAGCTCGGTGAATGGCTTCACCTGTGTACGTTATCGTCAAGAGACCCGCCCAGTGATCTATCCGAAAAGAGGCACTCTCACAATGGCCGCTTGACTCATCGCACGTACGTACAACACCAGCATCGTACACGAATTACCTTTCGCGCAATTCAAACGCCTCAAGGACCGTATATGTCGAGCCTCGAAACATGTTGCGTCTCATACAGTCCTATTCGTGTTCGCGCCCTTTTGAAGCTGAGCGGTTTTTGCTCAAAGATACCATGTTCAAAGGTCATTTACATCCCCAACCCATGTCCCAATACGGCCATAATGGGCTTGTGCACAAGATTCTAATTGGCCTAGTCCATTTTTCTCGTAGAAATCTCGAGAGTGACATGTGGGAATATCTGAGATATCGCGAGTGACTCAACCTCTTTCCTCCTATTTCATATCCACCACATCCTCTTTCCTTTCCCTTCCACAACAATACCGGACAACCACGCCATCTCACATCAGTCTACTCAATCATTTTCAGCGCGTCTTTCAGCCCATCATGTCCCGAAGAAACATCAGCTCAGGTTCTGCCTTTGAGGCACAAATCGGCTACTCCCGTGCGGTGGTCTCGGGCGATCTCATCTTCGTGTCTGGAACCACGGGGTCCGTGTCTCCCACCACCTTCCACCCCGCCCACCCATTCATATCATGTTTGACAAACGACCATATTCGAATGGGGCCTATGTGCTAATTATTCTGACGGCACAGCTACAACTACGCGACAGGCGTCATATCCCCCAACATTGTCGAGCAGACGGAGCAGACGATGGAGAACATCGCCGCCGCTCTCGCCGAGGCCGGCGCCGAGATCAAGGACGTGGTGCGCGTCCGCTACATTCTCCCCGACCGCAACGACTTCCAAAAGACCTGGCCGGTGCTCCAAAAGTACTTTGGCGAGGTCCGCCCCGCGGCGACTATGATCCAGGCGGCGTTGATGGAGGACGTGATGATGATTGAGATTGAGGTCACGGCCAAGAAGGAGGTTGCCAGTTCGTAGTCGAAGCTACTGCGCGCGTAGGATCCGCGAGCTGGAGCTCATGCGAGAAGGTGATGTTGTCTGGTGGGTTCGGTCTTGTGAGGAGTCTCGACGGCAAAATGCATTACGCGGGACGACTTGGTTGTGAAGAAAATAGCCTAGCAATGAGATGCCCTAGTGAGCGAGATGTAAGAGCAAAAGGGTTTTACCGAACTCTTAATCTGTACACACTACCCAATTGAGGAAGCAGTTCGTCCCACTGCTCAAATCTCTCTGTCCATACAATAATAGAGAGAATGAGCTTGATGTGGTTTGTCATCATGCAACAAGCACAGTATCAAGGTATAAACTACAACATCATCCAATCCACTACTTACCACAGCTAGAAAGATGGAATACAGTCACAAAACGAAACAGGCCTAGTAACAAGGATGGCAGAGGGGTAACGCTTTGTCGTTCAACATATCTTCAAGCCGGCGACTTGGTCCAACCATTTTACACCCTCTCGCCCTTGGAAGACGTAATACGATCAGATTGGAGTATCATTTAACCACGGATTGAGCCATGGCCTACCAAAATAAATACCTTCAGACTCACAACAGGTGGAAGATAATCGTTCATTGCTCAAATACCCAACCACAGACTCGTGACATGAAGGATCTCCCGAGGATGCTGGACTACCACAGCGCCCATAAGTACAACATAATCGTATTTGTGGGCGGCTCTATATGATCCAAAGTCAGGGGTCTGTAACGAGCTGAACATTCATGCTTATACAGTCAGAATCCGGGGGATCAAGGCCCAGAGGGTACACGCTCAGATGCGTATGAGGTCAATATCGAGTCTTCCCAGGTCCATTGGCTAAAAAGGAGTAGGCGCCAACATTAGGGGACGGATGCTATCATGGCATTCCCATCAAATCGATATCATAGAAGCTTCAATCGGGGGAGGCTATGCCACCCGGGAAAGTATCAGCTAACAGTCCCCGACGCCAATAGACATCTAATCTCAGCCTCATCTAATCCCCAAGCCAAAGGGGGTGGGTGCATTAGACAAATTCCCGAACATGGCCACTGCGGCGGCGTAACGGCAACAGTTTGGAACGGATGTATAACACCACCCACCTAGCGCTCTTTAACGCAGTCCCCCTTGCAACTGCAACCACTTTGACAAGCTCCTCCGAGACGAGACCTCATACATTAGTAACTGCCGAGCTCACGGGCTCCAAAAAGACCGCCAGAGGGCAGTAACCACCCCCAAGCACCTCGGGACATCACCTAGAAACGAGAATAGCATGAATACTCAAATATCATGCACAATGAGATCGATAACCCAACCTCACCATGCCAAGGGTCCAGATCCAGGCCTGCGCAACCAAACCAGCCCCCCCGCCTCCACCCTGGCTGCCCATCGTCCTAAGCTGAGCCAACTCGTACGTCGACATGGAAATCTTGGCCCTCTCAGCACTGAAGTCAAAATGGCGGAAGCCTAGCCCATCGCATGACCTCGGAGCCGACAAAGCTCTCTGCCTTGCCTTGCCTTGCCTTGCCTTGCCTGGATAACGTAGTGTAGAGAGTGGCTGCGGGGAAGTGTCGTCTCGGCCCCCGTTGGAAATACACTCAACCACTGACGAGTAACACCATCCAATCTAGCCAGCCGGCAACCTGCATGAGAAAACCCCAGCACAAGAGAAGAGGAGACACCAAAAAGCCCGCTCCCAAAAAAAAACAAAGACAATCAAGTCTACATCATCCAGTCGTCTATTGCCATTACCATAAGCAAGTCTGCTGGAAAAGAACACACACAATGATGTCTTTTCCCCCTCTGACGCAAGCCTGCGACCCAGAGACCCTGATCTTCCTGGAACCCCTCCACGCGATTGCGGCGTAGCCAACCCCACGCAAGGCAGGCCGGCATGAAAATGGGTATGGGGAGACGTCATTGCCGATCCCTCTCCTCGCTCACATTCAATCCCACGCGCAAGAGGAAAGCAGGTGCTACACACATACACACACACACACGCAAACCTGCATGTGAGAGGGAAGCCATGCGCCAGATCAAGTTTTTTTTGAATTGAGATGGTTGAAGAGTAAAGATATAAACCGTCGTCGGAGGGCAGTTGAATTGAGAAACGTAGAATAAAATAGCAAGACACTCTGCATCTCTACACTTGTGAACCCTCCAACAAACGGCTTGCGCAACATCGTTCTCCTACCTCCCTCATAACTCACATCACACAAACGGTACATATCACCACCACCAAAAACCTCAACTCACCATGGAGACTTCAACCACCAACTCCCTCATCATCTCCCTGGCCATCGTCCTGGCCGTCCTCGTCGGAGGCACCTTTGCCTACCAGCAAGGCATGCTCGACCCCATCATCGAGCAAGTCGGGTAAGTAATAATTCACCCGGATCATGACGGCAGCAAGCTGTCTATAAGCCCCCAATACCTCTGGACTCAAGCTGACACTCGTCACGTTAAACAGCATCATGATGTTCAAGGCCAAGGCGGAAGCCGAAAAGAAGAAGATGCAGGCCCAGGGCATGAAGGCAGGACAAGACTTTGTCGATGGTGAGTCTCTTCGCCTTACAAGAAAAACTGTTTGATGAATCTCCCGCTAATAACGACTACTGCGTCAGACCAACTCAAGGGAAACAAGCAAGCAGCCGACGTCGCAGACGGCATCGGCTCCATCGGCGGGCTGAAGAAGCAGTTGTAAAAATCTTCAGCCTCATAAAAAGAATGAGATTTAGACTGAAGCTTAAAGCTTAGTCGGGGCACGATCATCTATTGCTTCGACCATGAGGACCACGAGGACCATGAACTTTTTACTACGGGAGCGAATAAAGTGCGTTTCATTGGGCCGTTATTGGCGTGTATGATATCTGTAGTGCAATAAACTTGTGGCTGGCGGGCGCGTTAGTTTGGTTGTTTGGGTTCTAATTACCTTATTCTGGAACAATTTTCGGCGCTAGAAGAGAGAAGAAAAAACGCAATACTCATAACGTCCAACTTTTTATCAGCGATACTTTTGCTGGTGTCTCTGTGCGCTACTCCATACAGGTGTGTCCAACCATCATACACTGATGGCTACTTACTGTGAGGACTGATATTTGCTGCTAGTCGCAATGAAAAGGGTGAACAAGGGCTGAGAAAAGAGTTTCAATCCGCTTGGGAGCCAGGAAGAACCTGTTGCGGAGAGATTAAGGAGAGCAGGGATTTTGATGACCTCATGGCATCTGGCACTGCCCGGCACAGGCAGGGACCCTGGACCTTGGACAGAACAAGCTGAAAACCAGCTCAACTCTCTCCCTGCAGTTTTTCTCCTTGCAAACTTCATTGCGCCGACGGGGACAGGGCAGGCAAGGCCTAGTGGACGGGTGAGAAAAGTGCAGGGCTCGCGGTGGCCCCGGTTCCCGTACAACCGTGAATCTGAACCTGTGACGATCGCCGGCAAAGCTTGGGCGCCGCCGCCGCCCCTGGCCGTTTGCTCCACTTGGAGTTCTCTGAACGTTGGTGTGTCGTTTCTTTTCTCAGCTTTTCCCACCAAATGATCGACCGCTCATTGGACTCTCTGGACTATGGACTCTGCAACTGTCGGGGAAAATGTTGTAGCAACGGTCCAGAGTCCACATGGCTCAGACCAGATGCCTCCGAGTTGATAGAGAATTTATCCAGTCTCCTTTTCTGCTCATCAGTTGCCCCCCACAACGCACGAGGCGAGGTCGGCATTTGTGGGACGTCCCCGACCCCTCCTAGGCTCACCATCCCAGATTATTCATTGAATGAACGTTTGGTAACGTAAGCGTCCTTGGCACCCGGTGAATCCGACTTGAACTTCTCTTGAGTTAGGAGTATTCGTAGAATGAATGGCCGCGCCAGTCGCACAGACACTTTCCCCCGGCTGCGGCCGCCCGGACTCGCCTTGCCCTGCGAGGACGACGCAGGAGATGCACAGCGTACCATTTCGAATCGGAGCCCCGACAACTTGTTAATTCAGCACACGGCTCATCTGCGCTCGAAACCTCGTATGGGGCCTGGCGCTCGCCCTGCGTCTTGGCCCACGACCCCAACGGTCGCCCCTGAACAAAGGGTCGGAGTTGGCCACAATTCTGGTGAGTAGCCGACGCGGCGAGTCCAGACCAGAAGAAAGGCCCGGCCTAGCTGTACTCCGTACTGTCTCCATCGTCGTGCGGTTTCCCGCATCTTCCCTGACTGCGAACATTCTTCAGTGAGTCAAATAGTGGAGGAATGAAAGAAAACAAACCGAAACCCCTGCCCAGTGCTCACCGAGCTCGAGCGGGTCGTCTGAAGATTGATGGGGCTTGGTTCTCCAAGTGGCACCTTGACCTGGAAGTTTCTCTCTCCGCTCCATCCATCTCGGGCTTCGTCTGGACGAGCGGGAATTTTCATTTCCCATCCGGAGCCAAATCCAAGGTCAATCCTGCTATTTTAAGTCTCCTAGAGGCTGGCGGTCAGGCCAAAACGGCAACCACGGCCAAGGCTTCCCACATATGGCAGAGACAACACGCGAGATGAGTCTCGAACATCGAATTTCTGTTGACACTCGGGAATTCTCCTGCTCTGAAATAGGAACATACGCGGAGCCACCAATTTGACCGCACCGGTTACCAGAGGCGACTGCGGAACGGTGGGTTTACGTGACACATCGTTTTGTTGATGAGAGCTTACTTGTAGTTGAAGCTGTTCTTCGGGCACAAACATAGGCTGCCAGCATACGTGTCAATTGCGCAGTCGTGGCCGCGGCTAGGTTTCCCAAATCAACTGTGATGTTAGAAACCAGTGAACCATCTGCGGTGGGTTCAAAGACGACGTTGCGGTTATGAACATACAAAAAGTCAAGCCCAGCGAAAAACAGCCGACCCCCAAGGAGCATCTGATTGGTATGCTGCGAGTGGGACTATGCTTTTGGGTGGGACTTCCTTGCTTGCATTCTGGGGTATATGCGAAGTTTCCAGGTGGCTGGGACGAATTGATCGTCCGTATCCGCGTTCGCTACCTCGAATCCATGGCTTCGTTGATGCAAAATTTGGCTTATTTGACGGTGAACACGAATCTTGCCACTGCCAGCGACAAGCAGCCAAGGAAGTCGCTAATGCAGAACAAAGAGAAACGAAGACTCATGGAATTTTGGCGTAATTGGCGGCAAACGTGGTGTGCTGATTGACGCATCAATCACCCGTTGGCATTTCATCGGCGTTGACCACGCGCATGCCCGTATAAACGGACTGAACCCTGAGGCGCCTTGCCGTAGAAGAATCCGGAATCACACGGGGGTTGTCGCCG